CGGGATCTCAACTTTCCCGGGAATAGACGAAGGCGTGATTGAAATAGGAGGACTTTGTCATCAAGTTTAAAATCCTTCCTTATGATCATTTTATCATGCCATTCTTTCGTCTTTCTTTTGTAAATCTCCGCATTGTCATAAGAATCCAGGCGGAGTTCTTCCAATTCTTGTAATTGGAGCTTCCTATGTATACCGGCCTCGTCAAGATTGAGGTTAAATTCTTTTACCGCCCAATATGACTTGTGTTCAAGCTCTACGGGAAGGGGACAAGCTTTTCCAAACACAAGTCTATAAGGTGACATACCGATTGGAGTTTTGTAGGCGGTTCGGTATGCCCATAGTGCATCATCAATGCGTATACTCCAATCCTTCCTGTTTGGGTTCACTGTTTTCTGGAGTATAGATTTCAACTCCCTGTTCGAGGTTTCCGCTTGGCCATTGGTTTGAGGGTGGTAAGCGGTGGAGATCTTGTGAGTCACACCATATTTCTTTAGTAGGGATCCCACAATTTTATTACAAAAATGTGTGCCTCGATCGCTTATTAAAATTCGAGGGACCCCGAACCTTGAAAATATGTGTGATTTGAGGAAACTAGCTACCACCTTGGCATCATCAGTTTTTGTTGCTTTTGCCTCCACCCATTTGGAGACGTAATCTACTGCAAGAAGGATGTAGATGTTACCTTGAGAGTTTGAGAAAGGTCCCATGAAGTCAATACCCCATGCATCGAAAATCTCACAGAAAAGCATGGGGTTTTGTGGCATCTCGTTCCTCCTTGAAATGTTGCCCGCTCTTTGGCAATTGTCACAAGATTGACAAAAGCCATGTGCATCCCGGAATAGACTCGGCCACCAAAAACCACTTTCAAGAATTTTCATTGCCGTCCGTTACGGGCCGAAATGTCCTCCACAAGCATAAGAATGGCAAAACTCTATAATGTGAGCTATCTCATATTCGGGGACACATCTTCGGATTATTTGATCCTTACAATGTTTCCACAAATATGGGTCATCCCACACATAGAGTCTTGAGTCCATTTTTAATTTTTCTTTTTGAGATTTTGAGAATTGTGGAGGAAATTTGCCGGAAACGAGGAAGTTTACAATGTTTGCGTACCATGGTTGTATGACTTTGATGGAGAAAAGAGTTTCGTCCGGAAATTCGCCTTTTATGAGGTTGGTATGGAGACTTTCGATTTCTTTGTTTGGAATCAAGCGGCTTAGATGATCGGCCACCAAGTTCTCCGCTCCTTTCTTGTCTTTGATTTCTATGTCAAACTCACTTAATAGAAGGACCCATCGAATGAGTCTTGGTTTCGCCTCTTTTTTCGTCATTAGGAATTGGAGAGAGGCATGATCGGTGTATACAATCACTTTCGTTCCAAGGAGATAAGAACGAAATTTCCCCAAAGCAAAGACCACCGCTAGCATCTCCTTCTCGGTAGTGGAGTAGTTCTTTTGTGCTTCATTGAGAGTTGATGAGGCATAGTAGATGACATGAGCAGCCCTTCCAACCTTTTGGCCTAAAACAGCCCCTACCGCATAATCACTTGCGTCACACATGATCTCAAAAGGAAGAGACCAATCGGGAGCTTGTATGATTGGAGCGGTTACCAACCTTGCCTTCAAAGTGTCAAAAGCCTCCTTGCATTCGTCATTGAGATCAAATTCTACCTCCTTTTGCAAAAGTTTGCATAAGGGAGATGAGATTTTGGAGAAGTCTTTGATGAACCTTCTATAGAATCCGGCATGTCCAAGGAAAGAGCGGATGTCCCGTACATTTGTTGGGTACGGGAGCGTTTGGATGACATCAATCTTGGCCTTGTCTACTTCAATGCCTTTTGAAGAGATCACATGCCCAAGAACAATCCCTTGTTCCACCATAAAGTGGCATTTTTCAGAATTTAGGACAAGGTTGGATTCAATGCAACTTTTTAGCACAAGAGTGAGATGGTAGAGGCAAGTGTCAAAAGAGTCCCCATGAATTGTAAAATCATCCATAAAGACCTCCATGAATACCTCCACAAATTCGGAGAAGATGCTCATCATACACCTTTGAAAGGTGCCCGGTGCGTTGCATAATCCAAAGGGCATTCGTCTGTAGGCAAAAGTGCCAAATGGACATGTGAAGGTTGTTTTCTCTTGGTCCTCCGGGGCTATTGGTATTTGGAAATACCCGGAGTAACCATCAAGAAAACAATAGAACTTGTGCCCCGCTAGCCTCTCTAGCATTTGATCAATGAAGGGCAATGGAAAGAAGTCTTTTCTAGTTACCGAATTGAGCCTTCGGTAGTCAATGCAAACTCGCCACCCGTTTTGCACTCGGGTGGGTACCATTTCGCCATCTTTGTTTTCAATGACCGTCACTCCGGTCTTCTTTGGCACCACTTGGGTTGGACTCACCCATTTGCTATCGGAAATGGGAAAGATGATTCCCATTTGAAGCAACTTGATCACCTCCTTTTTCACCACCTCCATCATGGGTGGGTTCAATCTTCTTTGCGGTTGCCTCACCGCTTTGGCCTCATCTTTGAGTAAGATCCGGTGCATGCATGTGGATGGGCTAATGCCTTTAATGTCGGCAATAGACCATCCAATGGCCAACTTGTACTCCTTGAGGACCGCAATCAATCTTTCCTCTTGTTCTTGGGCTAAGACATTTGAGATAATCACCGGTAGAGTGTGATTTTCGCCCAAGAACACATGTTTCAAATTTTCAGGGAGTGGTTTTAATTCCACCTCCGGTGCCTGCAAAACAGATGGTAGCGGCTTCTCGCTCGGAATGGTTAGTGGGAGGGCTTTAGAGCCCGGTGGCAAAAGTGGGAGTTGATTTAACTCCGCCACCATCATCTTCATGTTGTTTGACATAGAGTACTCCATAGTGAAGTCCTCTATGTCGTTTTCAATTGAGCTTATTATTTCCTCTTTTCCTTCAACTTCAAACACATCTTGGACCCAAGTGTCACAAGTGTCAATGGCAAAAAGAGAGTGATTATCGGTGGGATATTTCATGGAGTCGTAGATATTGAATTCAACTTTCTCACCGTCAAACTCCATGGTCAACACTCCACTAAATACATCTATTTTTGCCTTGGCCGTTTTTAAAAAGGGTCTCCCTAGCAAAATAGGAACTGCATTTTTATCGTTCTCCATTTCGAGAACATAAAAATCAGCGGGAAAGATCAAATTATCCACCATGACGAGTACATCCTCTACCACACCCTTCGGGTAGGCATTGGATCTATCGGCAAGTTGGATAACTACCCCCGTTTCATGTAAAGGGCCTAGTTCTAGGGACTTATATAAAGAATACGGGATGACATTAATTGATGCACCCAAATCTAACATAGCCCTAGAAAAGCTAGAATTTCCAAGTTTACATGGTATAGTGAACATTCCCGGGTCACTATACTTTTTAGGGAGTTTCTTTTGAAAAACGGCTGATACTCTTTCACTCACTTGGATTTTATGCTTGCCATTTAGCTTGTGTTTCCTTTTAATTGTGCAAAGCTCTTTTAAAAACTTTGCAAACCTAGGAACACCTTTTATTAAATTGAGAAGAGGGATATTTACCTCACATTTGCTGAAGGTCTCATAGATATCCTTGTCAGGATTTCTCTTTTTGTCTTGTGATTTTGCACTTTCCTTCCACTTTTGGGGTTCACCAACTGTCCTTTGAGTGATGGTAGACCTGTTTGAGCTCAGAATAAACCTAATCTAAACATTTTACAAGATTTTAACAATTTAAACTATTACACCGAAAGTGTGTAATTTCCGAAATGCTAAACAACAAAAAGTAATTAAAAATGCAAACATAAACACGGAAATTACACGTGTATCAGGGGCTCGTGATGGTACCATGGATTTAGCCCATGGCCCAATTACGTAGTCCAGCCCATAAACGGGATCAGCCTAATGACAGGATTAGCCCATAAACGGGATCAGCCCATAAACGGGATATACGATTTGCAAGTTGCATAGCCCATTAGGGATCAGGCCCGCTACAGGAGCCCATTGCCAGGTCGAGCTAGATAGCAGGCCTCGAGCCTGGGCGGAGTTCTAGTGAGGCCGGGACGTTCCTAAGGCTTATGTGGCAAGCTATCATTCGTTGACAGATATTTGGCAACAGGCAGAATTCAACCGGATTAATACAACCAAAAGGAGGAAACAATCGTGTGGGAATCAAAGACCGAAGAGTTCTATTTCAAGCAAGAATATAGTTCATTAATTAGCATTAATTGTATAAGATTCCTCCCATAATTCTATCTCCTAAATCCCTATAAATACACGATGTAAACACCTTATCAAGGGAGACGACGAATCGATTTCTGAAGTCCGGAATAAGAAGACAAAACTGCCTTACACTGCCATATTATTATGATTTTTTACGTATATTTAGCTCTCGTAGTTGGATTTAACTCCATCAGTCCATATTAGAAGGAGATGAATGCATTGTATTGAATGTATGAATATTGACTAGGAATTACGGTTTACAAAGAGGAGTATATAAAGGAAAATTCAGGTTTGAGCTTTTAATATGGGCCTAATAGGCTTGTTACATAAAATGACAGATAATATAAAAGGTTAATCTAGACTACGCTAATAATAGTTATGTACAATGATATAAATGATGTTCAATAATCATGTGTGCATTGCTGTCAAGCCCAATAATCGTGACACCGAGGGTGCGATTCTATTACATTAAGCCCAATAATCCTGTCAGACCGGCTGGACAGGAATGTGACTATAAAGTAACAAGGTTGTCAAAAACAGTTGATATTTTTTATTTTTAGTTATATAGTTACGTTACTATACTTAGCAATAGCTCTCTTCTTTATTTTTATTTTTAGTTATATTTAGGAGGAATTTGATTTTGCACTTCATTTTTGGGTGATATTGGACTTTGCACCATATTTTGAAAAAACTTTAAATTTTCACCCCAACACGTAACATTTTGTGAAGAAAAATTAATGAACGGAGGAGTCCAAGCCCAACACATAACTTAATGGCTGCCAATACATACCCTTTTGTTATTGTAATACAAGCCCAACTTTACTACTCCGTAAATAAGAGTCCGTCCAAAATATCTTCGAACTCCTAGGGACGAGCGAAGGAGCTGTACGGTTGTACCTTTGCCACCCATCCACCCACCTCCGACTGCTGCTACCGCCGACCTCTCCCTGCCCGGATTCCCTGCGTCTCTCTGCCTCACGAATCATCCAGGTAAACGGCTCAAGCTTTCTCAAAATTGCTGTTCTTCTCTTAGCAGACTTAAGAAATTTCCAGAGTTCCGGACTTGCCGTAATTATGCTCAAGATCGCTTCTTTTTGCTAAAGTGGTAAAGTTATAATTTATCTGTTTGCAGAATTTTAATGACTGAACTAAAGAAATAAACTTTATCTCAAATCAGTTTATTTTTAAAACAAATAAATTGCAACAACATTATCATTCATATTTTTATGAATTTTTCCTCTATGATATATTCTCGCGGAGCTCTTTATGCGGAACATGGTAGGAGCTTCTTTTGACAACATTCCTTGTTGCCCTCTTGATCTTTATTTTTCATAAACCTATTCATTTTTCAATTGTGTGGCTTCGATCATTGCTAAAGTAGAGGTATTTATTTCCTCAATTCTCTCCCATAAACAAATTGTTACCTTATTCAGTGGGTTGCAGTTAGTTGGTGTAAAAGATGAGGAGAACAGAAGCCATCCAATTCACCAAACAGCCTTACATTGAGGATGTGGTTCCCCGCAAAATGTATGCATTTTTGTTCTTGTAATATGATATTGTATTTTTGTTAGAATGTCTGTAAGAGTTCTAATCCACACATTTATCACAATTTCTATTTCATCCTACAGAAAAAGTTTTAAGTTTTCCACTTTCTCCGGTTCTGAAGTCATGAAATCAGCAGTGGTTGAAGTCTTTTGCCAAAAATACTATGATCAATTCCAGAGACCTCATCCCAATGGCCTATTGGACGCACACTTGGTAATGCTTACATTTGGTGATGTTTTGGTTGTATGCATTTAGAGGGGCTGCACACACGTTTTTCATAAATGTCTATAGCCTTGTAGCTTATGAAGAAGCCAATTATTATGGCATTTGTGAATTGTAATTTGTAAATGATTTTTACTTGCTAAGTTGCTAGTCCAATTAATTGTGTCATCGGTGCGTCTTTTTTTCAACTGCCTTTTAATTCTTATTTTCTCTTCTGTTGATCTGCAAACTCTATTTGTTCCCGATCCATTGTTTTGGTGATACAAGGGGTTATTAAGGATTTTCTAAGATGAGCAGCAGTGTATTTAGAGCCAGCTTTGTAATCAGAAATCTTTTAATTGTAGTGGACAAAATGAAAACAACATATGTATGTAGGCACTTGAGGCTGGGTTTGGTTGATGAACTGGTTGATTCATTATTGTGAAAGGTTTGGAGAGGGTATATCAAACATTTCATTATTCCATTTGATATGGCCATACAGGATACAACTGATATTTATCAATAAAACGCTTGTAGCAGCACCTGTCCGATTGCCAATGCTGCAATGCAAAAGCTATACTGTGGCAAATGGCAGCCATAGTATGTCCTATGCCACTACAACTCTGATTTTCTTCTATGTAGTTATGTACACATATAAGCACAGTTAGGGGTTTTCGGGGGTAGGGAAGGGGTTATGATCAGATTTTGGAGTAAAAAAGCTCTGTTAAACCCTTTGAGATCCTTATACCCCCTTGAAAACTCTTCTCTGTTTTAATGCCATGTATTCACCCCTCTATTGCAATATGCTTTTCCAGTCTTCAATTACCTATCTGGCTATCTCCTATCTCCCAAGTATTCAAGGATCGACTCTCCTCACTTTTAGACCTATGGCTATCCATCTCTTCTTGGTTTAAAAAAGCGCGCCTGAGGCACGCAAAGGCGCTAGGCGCTCTAAGGCGTTTACTTTATCGCATCTTACACCCCCCAGGCGGCGTAGGTTCTAAGAGGCTCGCCTTATATGGCGCTTTTTGACGCCTTTTGCGCATCTAGGAGGCGCGCGCTTCTCACGCTTCATGGAACTGTCTTGGCAATTCAGTCTCTTTAGTCTTCTTCCTTTTTCCTTCGGTGTTGGCTTTGCTTCCTGGCTCCGACACCTGCGTCCTGCTTCCTTCTGCGTTTGCTTTATCGCAAGTCCTGTTTCTTCCGCTGCTGTCTTATGTCGCAGGCCAGGAGAATTCTACTGTTGTCCTCTTATGTGTGTGATTGTTTATTAATTAATTATGTAATATTCTATTTTTTATTACCTTGAAATTGTAGAGTTGGTACCTCTGTCGGTCTGTTCGAGATCATGCTGAGTAGCGTGCCTAATTTTTTATTTTTTTAACAAATTTATAAGACAGTTTTTATTATAAACAATTTTTATATAACAGTTTATAAATTATGTTTTGTAGTTTTAAGATTGAGTTTTGTAACATAACTTTTGGCAATGATGCCGTTTAACATTTTTTTGCTACTGTCTTAATAAATGTTGGGTTTCTCTTATGATGTTTAGAAAGATTGTTTAATAGTTTGAAGTATTTTTGTGATGTTATCACTTTTTGAGAAGAGTGTTTCATGTAGAAGTAGTATAAATATATTTTACCAAAGATATGATGTTAAGATCCGTGAGGCGCGCGCCTCGTCGCCTAGCGCCTCGCGCCTCGGGTAAATCAATGAAAACGCCTCATGCCGCCTCGCGCCTTTTAAAACTAAGCATCTCTTCCCTTTAACCTCCTGCAACCCCTACCAACTACCAAGTTGCGACAAAGCACAGTTTTCTCAATCTGATATTAATAGATTTCATAACCATGTATCTAAATTTGCAAATATAGTTATATACTCCCTCTGCCCCAATTTGTTTTGAAAAATTTTCCTATTTTGGTTGTCCCAAAATGATTTTCCACTTTCCATTTTAAGTATAGGAATATGATTTAAATGGCAATTTTGCCCTTATTTTTCTAACCCACCCACTCGATATAAAGAGAATTAGTTACCACCACTCATTATATCACTTTTTCTCATCCGTCTTTATCATATCAGTCCACCATCAAGCTTCTCGCTCCCACATTCAATTTTCACTCAAGCACCATGCACCTCGGTCAAATGGAGGGTTTCTCTAAGATTTCTTTCCAGTTTAAAGACAAAGGAGACATTAAAGAGTGTATCCGTTGAAGACGATGTAGGACAAATTATGTACTTCGACAAACTCCATTTATAAATGAAGGACGAGATGGGGAAAAAATAGGTAGAAGGAAAATTGAAGGGGGGCACACAATATTATTACAAACTTATTATTTGCAGACTCCATTTGCACTCCAGACTCCATTTGGAGTGTAGGTTGTGCGGTGACGTAGAAGGAAAAATGAAGGGGCGCACAGTACCAATGTAGTCTGTATCTCTCTCTCTCTGCATCTTGCAGGGTTTTTTAGTGATAGAGTACTTTTACAGATTTATTTTTCAACTTTAGTGCTTTTGTTTTTTAGTTTATGAGAAAAGGGTAAAATGGCGAAGCACTGAAGCCAATATCACTTTATATCATTTCTTAATCCCCGTGTCGGTCAACTTTTGCAATTCAATTCGGGACAGAGGGAGTATTATATATTCTGTATTGAAATGGTAAGAATAGTGGTCATACAGCTACCCGATATACTGCTATAGTGCTCAAGTCTTTCCTCAGTCCGTGATTGACAATGCTGCCTGCCTTATCCATACTTTTGTGATGTCCATCATTGTCTGAGAATAACCTGTTCATAATTGTATTGTATTACGTAGTATTATTTATAGGCACCTCACACATTATTTTGCATTTCAGGGGCCTCCGAACAAAGATAAGACTTGTGAGACTTGCGGCGGAAAGTTCAAAGATTGTCCTGGTCACTATGGATACTTGAAACTTGCGTTACCAGTTTACAATGTTGGATATCTGCCGATCATTTTGGTCATTTTGAAGTGTATTTGCAAGGTACATGATTTTGGTCTATTAGTATTGCTGTAATTGTTTAAACCATATTACATTTCTTAGATGATGTATTCTCTGTTACGGTTCTATTACATCCATTTGATCTGTACTAGTTCATATTCAGTACATATTTACAACTAAAAGAAATAAACACAACCTCAATAACTTAAAAGGATTGTACTTCATGATGTTGATGGACCTTTTGAGCACAGCTGCATTTGTTTTGAAGAGTATTCTTTAACAGGTGATGGTTAATCTCTATGGTCACTTGCCTTTTAGCTTTTTGCATATACCTTCTTCACACCTATGATCTATACGGAAAACACACCATACTTGTCACGACGGAAAGGCGAGTTGCGGCGCCAGCGGACTGTCATATCGCCTAGGCGACAATTAGGCGACTAGTCGCACATCGTATAATATATTATACTACATATTTAATTAAGTAATTAATTTTATTGAATTTATAATTAAAAATATGTTATACATAATATATTACTAATTAGATTGTATATTACCTAGAATTGAAACCAACGATTAATAATTGAAAGAAAGGTTTATTAATGGGAATTAAGAGTAAAAAGGTCTATAAAAAATTAAACTACATAAAGTATGTATATCATACATTTGTATATGTAATTATATACTTCGTATATAATACAGAGTAGTTTTTATTAGTAGTCCATATCAGTAGATTCCTACTTTAAATTTTACCGAGCATATAAGTAGATTCTCCGAACCTCTGTCTGTTGCGTGTGTATATAATATATGTAGTATATACACATAATTACATATATACAGAAATAAACAGCTTAATTAAAAAAAAGTCTGCTAGACTAGAAGAATTGGCTAGGGAGTGGTAGTTCTTCTGTTTCCTTGAGTTTGTGTCTCTGCGTCTGGAGTTAGACGGTCTCTTTGAAGTTGAATGATGGCAATCGATCAAGTGTAAGATTACTTTGGGCTTTGTTTCTAATTAAAAGCTAGGTAGCATGGAAACGGGAAACGTCAGAAACGCCATTTTCCAAAAATACAGGACACAAAACGTGGGGAAAACGCGCAATTCTTAAAAGGATAAGGGTTATTTTATAAATATTGTTTATATGTTTATATATATATATATATATATATTTTATATGTTTTTATATATATATTGACACACACATATGTACAATACATTCCACACAAGATTATTTCATCCTAAAAATTAATAATAATTCAGCACAATTAATAATAATTCAGCACATTGAAGTGTAAAATTATTGAAATTTTATTACATGAAATTATTGAAATCTTAGTCAAAAACAAAACATTAAACACAACATGCATAAAAACATACGGAGTATTAAATTGTAGCGTAGACATGTTCCACGACATCAACATCATTAAATAAAAAGACACGTTCAAGCTCCGGTTCATCCAATGATAGATTTGCAAACTCAAGAACACCAACATCTTCCAAGCCTGCAAATTGATCTCCACCTACATCCCACATCTTAGTGTTCTCATCTTCATATTGGGAATGAACACCAAATCTTCTGCACGTTTGGGATTTAATTTGTTCCGTCTTAGTGAATGGATAAAAGAATAAGAACTCCAATTTCATTCACAACACAAAGAAGAGCTAGGTTGCCCAAGCACTTTAAAGGCCAACTTTTGGAGTAATTGTGCACCTGATCCATACACTGCCCACCACTTTCTAGGATCTGTATCACACATAGCAGCAATACAATCTGGATCACTAAACGGACCAATCTTCAGAGAGAAATTAACATATTCATCAATAGCTTTAACACGCTCTTCAGAAGGGAAAATGTGCCTAAAACACTTGTTTCTCTCTAAAGATAGTTCATTATCCATATGTGGAGGCACTCTCCCAACTCCCCCTTGGATCCATTTATCACTATAATACCTAGGGTTTAAACAAACAAGTAGATATAATATATAATTGTAGAAGTGAAATAAATAGTTAAATAGAGTAATTAAATGAACTAAGCAATGAACTAAGCAATGAAGCGGGGTACTATTCTTTGTCCAACGTTCAACTAGAATGCGATGAACAACATAGTAAAAGGGAGAATATTCACCAAAAGTTTTTCCTTCATGGTGAAAGATAGTCATTCTCACCTTTTCTATCATTGAGTCCCACATCTCATAAATCAAATTTAGTCATGGTTTGTCAGTATCACAAATTCTAATCATATCATAGATTCATAGATAGGACCAGTGAACTGCAATATGTAACATCTTGATATTCTGTCCATTCATCACTCAAAACCATTGTTTGTAAAGCACGTCTCAAAAGTTTAAACCTCTTGAGCATCACAATGATTGTTGCAAAGCGAGTATCAGCAACTGAAAGCAACTTCAAAGTACTAAATCGGCTGAACATAGAGAGCCTCATGGAATGGTTCATTATAAAATTATGATGTGCACCACATCTCCATGAACTTCTGTGATCCAATGACACTCTTCATATGTTTCAGCATTTGTTAACACATTTTTCGCCGCACAAATGTTCTTTAAGGCAAGATTAAGAGTGTGAACAACACATGGAGTCCAATAAGTATGTGGAAATAGACCTTCACTAATTTCTCCAGCTGACTTGCAATTTCTAGCATTATCGGTGATCACTTGAATGATTTTGTGATGACCTATCTCATTAATAACATCTGTCAGTATATTAGCAATGAAATGCTTATCTTTTACCTCCCCTGAACAATCGACAGCTTTGATAAACATTGGCCCAGCTTCACAAACAACCATTACATTAATCAGTGGCCTCCTTTGCGGATCACTCCATCCGTCACTAACTATGATCACACCTTTTTCATACCAAGTGGTTTTTATAGGTTCTAAACACGTCTCCACGTGCGCTTTCTCCCGTTGGAGTAATGTAGTCCTCAACTTGTTATGACTAGGAGGTACATATCCACCCAAATTATGATTAGCAGCAAAAGTATATGAGCTAATATAGTATGGGTTTCTTGCAAAATTAAAAGGAATACCTCCAGTGAAGAACATCCTCGCAATCTCTTCATCAAGTTGATTCCTACTTTGCAAATCAAGTGCTCTAGCATTGGGCGAGTCATCAACTCTTCTTCTCTTTAACATCTCTAAACAACTGGGTTTGTTTATAGATAAATAAGTTGAGTTGCTTCGCGTGCTGCTAGTAGGCAAGGATACTCGCTTAGGTTGTGAACCGGCAATGTGTTTAGGCAACATCTTCTTCAAGATTTTTCATTTCAACAATACTCTCCACCCCAACCTTTGGACATACAACAATTCCTTTTGAAGGTAGTTTGAGTAAATGAGCTCTCACTGTAGTGTATGTCCCCTGTTTTTGGCTACCACAAAAGTTGCAAATCCATTTCACATTCCCACCTCCATCGCCTGTTTTTTGGAGTCTTTTAACAAACTGCCACAAAGGACTACTCGCATCCTCTTTAAATTGTGTCATGTTATTAATACTGTCCTCCATCACTAAGAAATTAAAAATAATCTAAATTATACAACTACACAATAAAATATTAGAAATCAAATGAATAATATGCTGAAATCCTGAATTGATTTATACGAATTTAAAATAATCTAAATTATACTAGTACAAAATAAAATATTATAAAGTAATTGAATAATATGATGAATTGAGTTACAACTTACACGAACTAAACATTTTAATACTTTAACAAAATATAACATTTTTTGTGATATAAAGTAAGGCTGCCAACTGCCAAGCTCTAGGAAAAATTTAAAATTGCCAAGTGCCACTTTAGTGGAGTACACATCATCTAAACTATTAATTTCACTTTAAATCTACACCCACTTTCTGTGAATTTGCACCCACTATCATTTTACACAATTAAATACGAAGTATGTAGGTAGTGGGCTAGGAATTAATGAAGGGGATTGTGATTCGATTGAAGCCTATGTTTACAAAAACTCAATTCTTACAAGCTCAAAACTATATACCCTACGACCTATTAAATACGACCCACCTGCTGATGACGACGAACAAAAGAGATTACGATTATGATTTTCAGAGTCTGTGAAAGTTACCTGTTCAAGGGGAAGACCTCTGCTGAAGCTGACGGTGGTGAAGTCAGCGACTGCCGCTTAAGCCGACGAACGGGGATGACTGTTGAGTGTAGGTTTGAAAAGAGAAGACCAGAGGTTTTACTTCTACCCAATCATTTTTGGGCTTCTCGATTGTGAAAGGGCCCTATTTCTTTTCAAAACTCTGTTTTTTTAAGGGAAACACGATTCCAAATTTGTCTATATAAAAAAATGGCCAAGAGACGCGTTTTTGGCATTTCTGCTGTTCGGAAACGTTGGAAACGTTTCCAATACGGGGAAACTCTACCCCCTAGCCGTTTCCGTGGTTCTTAGATTAAAAGTCTAAATTCTTAATCAAGTTAAATTACTCATCGCCAAACCATGGTGGATGATGTTTGCCGATGATATTGTATTGATTGATGAGACACAAACAAGTCTTAAAGCAAAGTCGGAAGTATGACGACAAACATTGGAGAACAAGGGTTTCAGACTAAGTCGGAGCAAGACAGAGTACATGGAGTGCAAGTTTGGTGGAGGTAGAAGCAGCGGTAATAGTGGAATTACTCTAGATGGTAAGGATATACCGGTCAGTGATATGTTCCGTTACTTGGGCTCCATAATTCAGGACGGTGAGCTAGATGGAGATGTATCCCATAGAATCAAAACAGGGTGGATGAAGTGGAAGAGTGCGTCAGAATTTCTATGTGATAGAGGTATGCCGACCAGACTGAAGGGTAAATCTTATAGGATAGCGATAAGGCTTGCATTGTTGTATGGCGGAGAGTGTTGGGCGGTGAAACAATGTCATATTCAAAAGATGAGTGTGGCAGAGATGCGCATGCTGCGTTGGATGTGTGGACATACGAGGAAGGACCGCGTGAGAAATGAGACAATCAGACAAAGGGTGGTTCGGTCACGTGCGTAGAAGACCGAATGATGCACCTGTCAGACGTGTTGAGATGTGTGGAGAAGAGCCAGGGAAGAGAGGGAGAGGAAGACCCAAAAAGACGTGATATGCTTTGGGTTGGATGAGAGTATGACTTTGGAGAGAGCAAAGTGGAGTGCGGCGGGTATTCGTGTGGATGAGTGATCTCGTATTATTATTGTTATTGTTATTGTTATTGTTATTGTTATTGTTATTGTTATTGTTATTGTTATTGTTATTGTTATTGTTATTGTTATTGTTATGGTTATGGTTATGGTTATGGTTATGGTTATGGTTATGGTTATGGTTATGGTTATGGTTATGGTTATGGTTATGGTTATTGTTATTGTTATTGTTATTGTTATTGTTATTGTTATTGTTATTGTTATTGTTATTGTTATTGTTATTGTTATTGTTATTGTTATTGTTATTGTTATTGTTATTGTTATTGTTATTGTTATTGTTATTGTTATTGTTATTGTTATTGTTATTGTTATTGTTATTGTTATTGTTATTGTTATTGTTATTGTTATTGTTATTGTTATTGTTATTGTTATTGTTATTGTTATTGTTATTGTTATTGTTATTGTTATTGTTATTATTATTATTATTATTATTATTATTATTAATATTATTATTATTATTATTATTATTTCCCCTCATCTTTTCTTCTTCTTGTTTTTTATTCTTTTATCCTTATAAATAAACATTATTTTTATCCTTTTTATTTTATCATTTTTAAGTATATTCATCCCGTTTTATATTATCTTTTTTATAATAGCTTATTTTTTAATCTTTATTTTCTTTCTTTTCCTTTTGGTGGTGATATCATGTATCGATTCATGTTAGCCGACCCCAATATCTTTTGGGACTAAGGCTTGGTTGTTGTTGTTGTTGTACTCATCGTCAAACCACGCCTGGACAACACCTAGATGATGCCTAGGTTGCCTATTCTTATTCCGACGAGTCGAGGCAACCCGGTGACCACTCCTTAGCTCCAGGACGCCTAGGCGACACCATGACAAGTATGAAACACACTCATCAGCTTGGAAGAATATCTTTGCATGTTCATGAGTTGTTTTTTGAATGGATTCTTGGTTAGTCATCCTCCCGTGGCCCAAAAATACCCTGTAATAGAACTTTTTTTGCCCCCCAAAACACTTTGAATTTAGTAAACCAACAAAGGGGAGGACGAATATTCGCGTTCTATGTTTAAATAAATTGAGGGCGAGAGTTGTTCCCTCGGATCTATGTTTTCTCTGTTTCTCTCTCTCCTTTTAATTGCAATATCATGTATTGATTCCTGTTAGGCGATCCCAAAATCTATCCGACTTGAATTACAAGTTATCATTCTTAATTGATTTCATTAAATCGACTGAACGCTACTATTAAGATCAATATACGACGCTTGTTCTGTATTGGCCAATAGTAACGTCTATTAAGGAACACGTCTCGTTATTAATAGCTATACTAAATGAATTGGAGTTTCTCCACAGTTAAGTATTCAAGAGGGATAATTAAGGTAGTAACAATGATCAACGAGCAATTCACTAACTGGAAATTAGCAAAACCAAGGTTGTTTACCTTTGATATTTTAATGTATTCATCTTAGTGTTTTAATTAGTTTCTCGTTTATCACAATATCCAACGCCTCCGTTCCATTTACTTTGATTTCTAACACTTAGGGGGTGTTTGGATCTGATTCTCAAAACCGATTCTGCTCCTTCAGGGAGTAGAATCAGAAGCTGGAGTGTTTGGGAAATTCCAGAAGCGCTTTTGGGGCTCTAATTTACTCCCAGAATCAGTTTTTTTAGAAGTTGGGGGTACCCGCTTCTGAAAACTGATTCTGATTCTGCTTCTGCTTTTAAAAAAGAAGCAGAAGCAGAATCAGTTCCAAACACCCCATTAGACACGTAAAAAATACTTTTAGCTACTCTACTACGCTATACTACAATATTAAACTTACTAGTAAATTTATTTTGAGGCACACGACTTTAGTGCCATCACACTTCCATTGTGTTCATTCTTTCTATCTTAATTTATTTAGTATTGTTTGATATATGCTTAAAAACATTCCACATGTGATATATAAATAGCTCTTACAACAACATTACTCCAGTGCCGCAAAGGTTCCCACAGTCTACGGTGGGGTAAGGGGGGGTCGGATGTGGGCAGCCTTACCCCTGTACTAACAAAGAAGCGCACACGGTTTATTGAGGCATTTTGCTTTACTCTATCATATTTCAAAGAAGAAAAAAAAGTGAGCCTTTGGCTCCATTTGAAGTGATAAAAATCTGAACATGTGATACATAAATAACTAATGGATTAGTAAAATCGTGTCTATACGTGAGTTCGAAATTGTGTATGTGAGGCCTGCATGAATAACACCATCATTCATACCATCATTACCCCAGTGCCGCAAAGTCTCCTACCTATGGTGGGGTAAGGGGCGGTCGTATGTACGCAACCTTACCCCTATACTAAAGTTCAAAGAGACTGTTTCCGGATGTCCTAAAGTGAAAATCGTGTCAAAAATTGGATAGACTGACTGCTACTTCATATCAAAGAAGCACAGACAGTTTAGTGAGCCATTTTGCTTTATTCCATAATATTCCCAAGCCAAAAAATAGTGAGTCTTTGGCTCCATTGCAAATGATGGTAAATGAGGCCTGCATGAATGTGCTACATAATTTAATACACACAACACTATTTTTGAGAGTTAAGGCATTGGTTATACCATTGTAAAGACGTAAAGAATTATAGTAGATTGCACAATATGTTGATCATGTAATATGAACACAATGTAGGTGTTGTTGCTTCACATAAGAATAGGACGCCATTTTGCTTGATTTGTTTGTGAGGGCCTTAGTGGTATATATAACTAGTAGGATAACTTACTGGTTGAATGCATGATGACGGTAATAGAGCATCCATGATTTTTTTTGGCCAAAATAGTAATAGACTTTACAAGAGTAATAGATTTTTTTTGAGGACTTTGAATTTGATAGAGTGTTGGCAAATATAAAATTATTGCTGGAAGCGTACCGTGAAGATTAACAATTATTTTTAATGTATTTTACATGTCATTATTATGAATCTCAAACTTGTACATGAACACCATGGTGGGTTCTATGGCGCATGAGGAAATTCTGTGCGGAATTTCGATAGTGTTTCACAAAATGATGTATGGCCTCGATTTTTTTGAGCATATTCCCCTTATTTTTCAGGGTTGTTCTCGCATTCTTCTCGAAGAAGATGACCGCCGATACTTCCTAAGAAAGATGAGAAGTATGAAGTTGGATCATTTGAAGAAGAGTGAGGTGCTAAAAGAAGTTAATAAAAAGTGTAACGCCATGACAGCAACTCACAAGATGAAATTATGTTCCAGATGCGGATACATCAATGGTACAAGCACTTTTTTGCTTTTATGTAATTTTTATTATGGCATTATGACTATGTGGCCATGTTGGTAGTGCTACTACTAATTTGCACGGCAGTACACACAGATCCCCCACCAAACTTGGTTTGTGCTTTTGTGGTATGAGCCTTATGTTTGGATTTTCTTTGCATTTTACATTATGAAAGTGTTTGGACATTAAAGGCGGGATACCTTGTAACACCCCGCCTTGTAGGGCCCAAGGTGGTTATTCATAAATTCCATCCAAGTCTTTAGTACTGTTCTCACAAATCACCACAAATCTTTATCGCGCACTTTATTGTCACTCGTGCACGCCTTGAGAAACTTCTAAGGGGCCACCCATTCCAAGACTACTCCCGTGCAAACACACTTAACTTAAAATTCTTAGCTGATGGACTTCCTTAGAAGGAGATGCACCTTGTTGGTGTGAATATTTCTTTTTAAATCTTTTAAGGTAATCTCAAGTGTTACAAACACCCCCATTTAAGTAATGTCCTTGTTGCGGCCATAAGCCAATTCAATTTCAATCATATCCCGACATCCAAAGGATCACACTGTTGCACACTGTTGTAGGCTTGCTCTGATATCATCTGTAACACCCCGCCTCGTAGGGCCTGATGTGGTTACTCCAAAATGCGATCTAGGCCTCTACTATTGTTCTCACAAACCATCACAAGTCTTTATTGGGCACTTTGTCCTCACTCGTGCGCGCCTAAGGGTCACCCATCCCAAGACTACTCCTGTGCTTAACTTAGATTTTTTTAGTTGATTTGCTTCCCAAGACTAGACCCATCCTAAGAGTTTTTAGTACGAGTAGTACTATTAATCCTTTTGAATTAGACTCAAGTGTTACATACCCATCAAATAAAAAAAATTGAAATTTGATTCAAGTAAAACATGCTTTTTGTCCCATCCTTGTTCACTTGTAATCGTTTAGTACATCTTAATCACTCATGGCATGCAAGTAAATATGACCCTAAACTTTACTAATTGGTTGCATTGTTGTGACCATTAGGGTTCTCATTGTAGATGTGCATATTAGTATATTCATTCTCATTTCTTTGAAGTTGTAAATAAATACATGTGCTTTTTGTGCTCAATCAAGAACCTACACACCATTTGTAGAATTAAACTGTCAAGAGACATGCTTGCAACCATTTTATGAAATCGGGATTGACATCAGTTCATGCGTGACAACGATGTACTAACCATCTAAATATGAGTATTGAGCTGCCAAATACAAAAAGTTTCTCCTTGTATGAATTTACGTTTTGTGTCTATTTTGGCATATAAGGTACATAATATTGCAAAATGGGTCTGGGTGCTGGTTTCTCTCTTTTTAGTAATTTGGTCTGATTGTTGGAACCATTTCGTAGCTTTACTTTTCCTATGGTTGGTGTATGGTACTACATATTCGATGATTAAAGTGGATTGGAAGATAGTCTAGGTAACCTTTTCAAGAAACACAATTGAGTGCTTGAACATTTTATTTGAGCTGTTTTTAATCAATATTATTGGTCATCCATTGTATATATTCTAGGAATGGTAAAAAAGGTATCTATGAAGATCACCCATGAGTATGGGAGCCTTTTGTTAGACGAGTGTCATAATGCTGTTGCTGGCAAGAAGGATGTCAAGGGATCAATTAATGTGCCCCCAGAACTCGATTCAAAGACAATTTACTCCCTCTTCATGAGAATGACAGATGAGGTAGTGCTTTGACGTCCACTATTTGTATTTTCTTACGTTTTGTGTTTATACTGCAGTTAGTTTCTCTTTATATTCTTTAATTGTAGATTTTTCCTTGAAATTTGTTTTGAACTGGCGTAACTGCCATATTACATCTAACCTATTACCTGATCTTTATTTTTTATTTTCTTGTGTAGTATGGGGATAATATACTTGTAACATGCTCAAATCATACTGATTACTTTTAATTTCTACTTCTCAGTTTTCTCGTCAATACCCTTCGGCAAAAAAGCAATAGCCATTAAGACTAGTATTCTCAGTTTGGTGTATGAACTACACAAAGAAATTACAGAAGCTTCCGGAATAAAAGTGAGAAAATAACAATATTTAAGAGACAAGATTTTAGGAAAATGTGAATGCATACACTCTCAAGATGTTCATACAAGAGTGAATAGTAACCTGAATCCAACGCCTGTTCAAATAGTTATTTTAATAGAAGTGTCAACTAAAAATTCTCCTTCATATTTCAATAGGATACGTAGCAAAATGCTACTCAAGAGTACAATCAGGTAAATATATGAAGTTGAATACAAACCCAAAACTCAACACAACAAATGATGTTAATTCTGTTTAGCATTATGTCGTAGTCTATATCTAGTCCTTTCTGTTTTCTAATTGTAGTTCCTTTTCTTTCCCCATTGTGTGTAGGACTGTGAATTGCTTTATCTCAATGACAGGCCAGAAAAATTTCTTGTTACATGTATTCCTGTGCCACCAATGGCAATCCGCCCATCTGTCTTGTTGGATGGAGTAAAAAGGTTCGTTTCGCTAAAAAAATAAATATGGGATCTACTAATGAGGATTTAAAGTTATTAGAGAAAATAGCTTTAAATCATACAAACTAGGGATAAGGGTCAGATAGGGTCTCGAACTTACAAAAAAATGTCAAATAAGGCCTTATGTAAGATGTTCTGTCCGGCCGACACCATTTAGGGCGGTTCCCGATTGAATTTTGTGATGAATTTTTTTGAGCATCTTATTCATTAAGTCTAGTTTAGTCATACCAAATTTGAACTAAAAATTCAACCTGTAAGACATTCAAATAAATTCTTGAAGATAACTGTGCTTTTAATTGCACAGTTATTTTCAAGAATTCATTTGAATGCCTTCCCGATTGAATTTTTAGTTCAAATTTGATATGAGTAAACTAGACTTAATGAATAAGATGCTCAAAAAATTTCATCGAAAAATTTCACCGGGAACCACCCCAAATAGCGCCAGCCGTACAGAGCATACTATATATGGCCTTATTTGACATTTTTTTGTAAGTTCGAGACCCTATCTGACCCTTATCCCTACAAACTATCTTCCATGAATCAAGAATAATATATACAGTGGAATTACTTCTTAATTATACCAACTATTTGAATAAATAACAGAATGATATTCAACCATTTTTCACTTCAGATTTAGTTAATTTACGCATCAAAAACTCATATCAAAATATCCAATAAGTGATCCTATCACCTAATATCATTTATTTGATGGTTTGATATTAGTTTTTGATGCCTTAAATGACTGCATTACTTGTCAAAAGTGGCTCCATTCTATTTTTGTTATATATTCTAATAGTTGGTATTACTAGAAATCATTTCCAAAGCATTATTATTGGTTAATGAATGATAGTTGGTATTATAGGTTATTTTCCCAAGTTATTATTGTGCACATTCTTTGGTTGAGGGAATAGGTGTTTCATTGAAACCCATTTCATGTGGCTAAAAACTTCTGAACATGGTTAGTTATCCCCCGTCCCACTTGAATCTTGAAACTTGCTTTTGGCACATTGTTTTTGGAAAGGAATTTTTAATCACTATTTTCCTATGTTGCCCTTCTTTTTATACTCAAATTTCAGTATTCCACCCTCTTCGACTCTAGCAATTACTTCTTGAAACTCTTTGGCAAGATTCAAAATTGTGTGTTACGTAGTCGTGGAGTTTTTTTAATTATTGCATACTGCGTAAGCCTCATTGCGCAATGAGGCGTAAAATTTATGTATGTGTGTGTGTGTGTTTGTGTTTATAGAACAATTAAAACTAAAGGAAAGCACTCATCAAAAGCCACCAAAATGTAATATAAAAACAAATTATGATGAGGAAATAATCCTAGTAAAGTATTATATTCAAAATAGGGATCATCACCACTAGCATTTCCTCGATCATCATCCACATCAAGGTCAAGATCAAAAGCGCTATCATAACCCTCCACGGCCTTTTTCACAACCCGTTCCACTCTCACAACCAACTTCTACACTTTAAATGATGGACACACCCAAAACTAGCTCCACCACCACCGTCTACATCACAATCATCATCACTAACACCACCACCACCACTAGGATTCATTTCATCTTCTTCAACTACCCATTCATCGCTTGATGGAATCTCATCCATCACTAAATGATCGATGTCTTCTTTAAGTGATGCTTTCTTCATCCATTTTGTCTTTAATCTCTTGTTATACATCACAAATACCAACTTGTCAGATTGCTCGCATGAAGACGATCCTTCTCTTGGCATGTATGTACAAGTATATTAGTTAAACTTTGTTATTTACTTGATTGATTCATATTTGTACATGTCAAAAGTTTATACATATTCGTATGTACATATGGATTCAATATTTATATAGCATTTTGATAACCGACTAAACGTGCTCTTGTTACATTCACAAAGAGACAATGAACATGTCAGAGTCAAAACTCTTACAGCAAAAGCCATTAATTCTGGGCATCTGGAGTTTGATTCCCATATTGACACCACCAATCCACTGCAGTCATTTAAATAAAATTATGATGAATACTAAAAATTCAAGTTTAATGAATAACCTTTTCATGCCAGGGCTACACCGCTTCATGACCAAAGAATAGCCTTCTCAAATGGCATTCATCCATTTGCAAATCTATCTTCTCCCGAACCGCGAGTTCTAGAAACATTTTTGCCACATCCCCACCAAGGTTGTTAAAATCGCGATTCAAATTGTAGAATCGTACGATTTTACAATCCAAAAGCACCAAACCGATTTGAATCGTTTACAAAATCGGAATTTAAAAAGTCATAAAAAAATCGTTTTGAAATCACTGAAATCGTATTCACGATTGTATACGATTTCCCGATTTAATTTGACTTGGATCGCACCAAACCCAGCCGAGTAACTCTGGCCAGTCATGCAACCTAAAGTGCTACCCTGCGTGCTTGCTTGATATACTCAGATTCGCTTTATATAGATAAGGGAGGGGGGGATTCGCTATGCTCTTCCGGTGTGGGAAACTTTGATTTAGAAGAATAAAGAAGCTTTTTTGGAAAAAAATCAAAACCAGTCAACGACGGGTTTCGAACCCACCTCCAACTATCTTGAATAAAAATGTGCTCATTGCTTAACCAATCCACCATAAGCAACTTTATATTCTAACGTAACTATTGCCATGATTTTATTTGAAAAAACTATTGCCATACTTGATACTTGTTCAATTCTCTTCAAACCAAACATAGTTACACTTATATAGTCTTGAAAAACATATATGGAGTATTTATTTTGACACTTGATTAGAACATCATTATTATTTTCGTGAAAATTTTGTTCTTTGAGTATATAACATTACTTTGTTTTACTAACATTATTTTGTTTGGTTACATTATTTTCTATTATTTTTTTGTACACTCTAATTAAGACATCATTGTATAACTTAAACTTATTATGATTTCACTTAATAATGTTATATTTTGAATTTCCTTTAATCGTTTTATTTAATATTTTTAATAATTTTATATACTTATTTTGTAAAATCTTACGATTTATGATTCGATTTTACTATTCGATTTTTAAATCCTTGTTTCGATTAGATCCAAAAATACGATTTTAACAACCTTGATCCCCACCCAATTTTTTATCTTTCTCTTCTTTTGCACGAACCATAGAATCATATAAGAATCTCGTATCGGGAACCTTTTCTGCATATGGAAATCTAAGGTTGTTAATTTAAGTTGGGGCCTAGGTTGTGTGGCTTGTCAGATGCACCCGATTATTAAAACACGCTAGGTGAACTAATCTAATGACTGCGGGATAGATAAGGACAATATGTTTTGCAGCATTTGCTCCGTTATACAAATGAACCTGCAGCATTGATGACTCATGACTCATGTTCTTTTTTTTGTATTGAATAATACTTTAACCATCATGCCTCATTGTGATATTCATATTAGCGGAAATAATTTACGAAGATTGAGACTTGGAAATTTATCATGTTATTACTTTGTAAGAAGGGGAACCTTGGCACACTGGTTAAGGTGTTACCATGTGACTGGGAGATCACGGGTTCAAGTCTTGAGAGCAGCCTCTTGTCCAAATTTGACAGGGGAAGGCTTGATCCTTATACACCCTTGTGGTGGGATTCTTTTCCGGACCCTTGCCTTGTGGGCATGCCTTCGGGCATCGATTGCCCTTTATTATTCCTTTGTAAGAATGTTGAAGCGTACCTGATGTAAAAATATGCCACTTTTTTTTGCATGAATGTATTGTGTTAAAGAAATCAAGTGACACTACATTTCATGTAAGTGACCTTGCCGACCTGATGTAGTTGGGATTATGTTGATGGTCGTGATGATGAACCTGCTATTACATCAACATACAATACTATAGGTGAATGCTAATGTCAATTTCATTTCGTGAACGTAAGATAGTTTAATGATATCCTGTGTCTTTGTGTCTTTATGTTGCAGTGAAGAGAATGACATTACAGTGAGGCTGAAATGGATTATCGAAGCAAATTTAAGTCTTCAAGAAGAAATATCTAATGGAAGCCATCCTAGCAAATCTCTGGTATGTCATTATTTTTATGTGTTTCTCTCTTATTCAAGGTTAGTAGAATTTTCACCTGGATGCATTTCTTAGTCGAACCCTTTAAAAGGGTATACAATATTATGGCATAGACTAAAGTCCATGGAGATCACTTGTGATCAATGTAAATTAAAATAAAGGTTCCAAAAATGAAGAGCCTTCTTAATCAATTTTCATCTCACCCTATATTAAAATAAAGGTTCCAAAATTGAAGAGCCTTCTAATGTACACCCTATATTTGTTAAAAAAACTGAAAGATATTACATTTGAAGATACAAATTGAGAATTTGTTCTCATCTTACTCAGAAACGTGAAGCGAATAAACAACTTTAACTTGAATTTTTCATTTCACTTTTCACATTTAAATGTGCATAGTGTTGAATATCAACATTTGCCATATACAACACCTTTTATAGCTTTATTGAGTTTTATTTGTTGCAAATGCTTAAAACCATTACGCAATGACGGTCAAAATGGTTAATGCTTAATTTTGAGAAGTGATTTTGAGAAGTGAGAAAGATACGACTTGCGAGAAATGAAGAAAATTATTTAGCTATGAAAGAAATGTAGAAATGCAAAGTATTTTAAGATTTGATATTCAGTCCGGTAGATTTATTTTCTTTACAATGTGAGGACAAAATTTATAAGATGAACTTCTCTTTAGTTTACGTAGTTAGTACTGTCGTACTTAATATAGAAAGCCTATAAGCATATTTTGTCATACTAAATACATAAATACTACATTCTTCCATATTTCTTTCTCCAGCAATTTCTATTGCTCTTTCTTTTTAATAGAATAAATAATATCTCTCCAGCAATTTTATCATACTTAATATAATAGATTGCTAATCAAACTGAGAAACATATTCATTCTGGCCCTTTAAAAGCATCATAAAGGCCTATGATATCCCTAGAAATCTAACTGAGACATTTTACAAATTCTAAAAAGTATTAGATAATCAACTTGTTAGATTTATCCAGATTTATTGGTAGCTAAATAGACTCCAATGTATTTTCTAGAACTGATCTTTCATCTTATTTGACCTTTCATCTCCTCACTCATTAATGTACTTGTACACTCATTATTATAAATAAAGGAGTTCAGGGTTGTGGACAGACACACAACCAGAAAATGATCCTCCGAGCCATGAACTCTGATTTCGATCACGTTAGAGATCAAATCCTCACTGGATCTGAGGTACCAACCATGGACAGTTTAACAACACGTCTCCTTCGGATTCCCACTCTCAAGGGTGACAAGTCTCAAGAACCTGCGGAGTTTTCAGCCATGGTATTTCATGGAAGAGGGGGTCGTGGTAACACAGGAGGACGTGCAGGAAGAGGACGTCCCCAATGTACCCATTGCAAAAGAATGGGTCACACTCATGAGAACTGCTACTTTCTTCATGGTTTTCCTAATAAAACTGCCAACTTCTCTAAGTCTAAAGTTTCTGAAGTTTCTGATCCAAAACTCTCTGGTGAGGAATACCAAGAGCATTTGAGACTAAAGTCCAACAACTCAGCAGAATCTTCCAAAACTCCGCCTACAATCAGTAGAAAGTCAAAATCCATGGATAATTGACTCAGGTGCTTCTGACCACATTTCTGGTAATACTTCTCTGTTCTCTTCCCTCTCACATCTTAAACACCCACATCTTATAACCATGGCAAATGGATCCAAAACAGCTTCCCAAAGAATTGGCCAAGTATCCCTTTCTCCTACCTTGAACTTAAAATCTGTTCTTTTTGTCCCCACATGTCCGTTTAACCTCATTTCATTAAGCCAATTAGCAAGTCATTGAACTTTACTGTAACCTTTGATGCTAATTCATTTGTTATACAGGAATGTGGAACGGGTCGGATGATTGGAGAAGGATATGAATCTAGAGGTCTCTACTATTTTGGAAACAAATCACCAGTCTCTAGTCTCTTGTCTAGCTGCTCCTTCTCCCAAACTCTTGCATGAACGTTTTGGACATCCACACTTAGCAACATTAAAGAAAATGGTTCCTGAACTCAGCGGTCTTCAAACCTTAGAGTGTGAGTCTTGTCAGCTCGGGAAACATGTTAGATCTTCATTTCCCAGCTATTCTGAGTCTAGATGTATTTCTGCATTTTCTATTATCCATTCTGATGTTTGGGGACCAAGTCGGGTTTCCTCTTTTGGTTTCAAATATTTTGTCACGTTCATTGATGAATTTTCCAAGTGTACTTGGGTTTATTTAATGAAGGACCGTTCTGAACTTTTGTCTATCTTTTCCTTCTTTCTTAATGAAATTCGCAATCAATTTGGCACAGTAATCAAAATTTTAAGGAGTGACAATGCCAAGGAATATTTCTCCTCTGGTTTTTCCTCCCTCTTAAGCTCACATGGCATTTTACACCAATCCACTTGTCCTCATACACCTCAACAAAATGGTGTAGCCGAAAGAAAAAATAGACACTTGATTGAGACTGCCCGTACCTTATTACTTAGTGCCAATGTACCAGTTCATTATTGGGGAGATGTTGTCTTAACTGCTTGCTTTTTTATTAACAGAATGCCATCCTCTTCTCTTAATAATAAAATCCCTCATTATGTCTTGTTTCCTAATGAACCTCTCTTTCATGTTTCCCCTCGTGTGTTTGGTTGTGTCTGTTTTGTTCATGATATGTCTCCAGGATTAGATTAACTCTCAGCTCGGGCGGTCAAATGTGTTTTCTTAGGTTATTCCCATCTTCAAAAAGGGTATCGTTGTTACTCTCCTGAGAATAAGAGATATTATATGTCTGTCCATGTCACTTTCTTTGAACAAACTCCTTTTTTCTCAGAGATCAATCTGTCCAGCAAGTTCTCCCTATACCATCTCTTGAGCCCTTTGTTCCGTCTATTGTTGATGACTCCATTTCCAACCAGTCTCCTTTAGATCCAGTAGATGACTCAACCCCCAACCAAAGTCCTCTTATTACCTACCAACGTAGGATCCGACAAACCAATTCAATTCTTCAAAGTGAGCCCTCTTCACCAGATCCTTCTCAATCATCACCCTCTTCCACAGTTCTTGATAATGATGATTTAGCTTGGCCGGTTGCTCTCAAGAAAGGTACTCGCTCTACCCGTAATCCACATCCTATTTACAATTTCCTTAGCTATCACAGACTTACTCCTTCCTATTGTAACTTTATATCCTTTGTCTCCTCAATCACAATTCCCAAAGATGTGAAAGAAGCATTTTATCATCCTGGATGGCGACAAGCTATGATTGCAGAAATGCAAGCTCTTGAACATAATAAAACATGGGAATTAGTTCCGCTTCCACCGGGAAAGAAAGCAGTTGGATGTCGATGGGTTTATGCCATCAAAGTTGGTCCAAATGGAGAAGTGGACCGTCTCAAAGCCCGGTTAGTTGCCAAAGGATACACCCAGATCTATGGCCTTGATTATAGTGATACATTTTCTCCAGGGCTGGGAAAGGTTTATTAGCCTATTTTTTTTTGTTTGATCCTATTTTAAATAATAAGCCCATACTAATAATAAGATTTAGCCCGTCTAAATAATAGGTAAAAACAACTTAAACCCATATTAAACCCTTCTTAGTCGTGGGAAAAGTCTTGCGCAACATGCTTAGCGCTGAAAAACATTCAGCGAACCCACAGAAGCCATAAAATCCATAAGGTGTCTTCTTCATCATAATCTTCACATGCTCTTTCTTTTTTTTGAGCTTGTAGTTTTCATTTATTTTGTCATCTTCTTTGTGATTCTTTCATTTTGTTCTTTCAGTCTATCTTCTTACTTTACTTTTATTAGTTTCAGTCATTTATGCCTACTTTAAGGTTCTTTTTGCTTCTAATATATGCTATACAACTCAACATAACATGTGTACCTGACCTACCAGTTTTCATGTGAACTACATATTATTTCATATTTTCATCTTATTATACAGTCTATAACTGTATATCTTCCTAGTATCATTTCATATTTTAACTGTATAAAAACTTCATATAATATAACTCAGTCAATAGTTTCATGTATTCATAGTTTCATACACTACTTGATTTATGCTATTCTTAGTGCTAAAATTGCAAAATTAACAAAGACAGACCAAACTCAGTGTTTTTTTTGTGAATCATGACATTATTTTGGTGAATCGTGACTTTATTTTTTAGAAACATGACTTTTTGATGTATTTAGTTCAATATGGTGTTAAAAATGTCATATTGAATCACTCTAGAATAGTATACATAACATTTTCTAAATAGTGCGCTTCACCCGAGTAAGGCGAACGCTTTTTTGCGCCTTGCGCCTCAAGCGATAGAAGTACTCTAGCGCCTTAAGTGCGCCTCGCGAATTTGACTACCTTGTCAATGAGGATTACTACTGATTTGCGTTTGTTCGTATTCCTTATTTGTCCCCTGACTGTGAAAGTGTTATAAGCATCGATTCCTTCCTTACTTAAAATCGATAGCTGCATATCGTTGTTTTCACCTCCTGTGTCAGTCTCAATCTCACTTGTCTCCTGCAGTTCACATTCCTCGTTTTCTTCTATTGATTCCACCCAAATTAACTGGTAGTCTCAATCTCACCTGTCTCCGAGAGCTTGGTTTCTTAAACTCACTACAGCATTGTATTCCTTTGGTTTGAAACAGTCTACAACTCTACATACTGTTGTATTACTCGAGTGTTAGTTAAGTAGTCAGTAGTCTTCCTCTACTTCTGTAAATACATTGTAATGGGTTACAATCAGAATTGAATAAACCAATTCTCCTTCTATTTCTCTCTGTTCTGTTTATCAATATGGGCCAGCCCACTGCTACTCAGTTACAGGGTCTAGACCCTATTATTATACACTATTAAAATACTTAATAATATTTTTATTAGCAGTATCCGGGTCCCTATCTTCACTCCCCTCTTTGGCTACCACCTTGTCCTCAAGGTGGGTTGTAAGAAACTGATCTGGCATATGGTTTCAGCAGGTTTTCTGCTACATCCAGTTCGTACTGTTGATCATTTGGTTCCTTCTCTTCTTTTAGATCTTCAGGACAAATTTACAACATTTCATTCCACAAACATGCTCTTTGCTCCATGTGTCTCCACATTTGAAGCATAGGCCCTTTCCACTTCATTCCTCTAGCTCTGCTTGTGACAACCTTTGGCCTTTCTCCCATGTCTGGTTCAGTTTAGGTGTTTCCTTTGTTTTAATATCGACAGAAACCTTCACAGTGAGGCTGGTATTATTTTGGTCTTGCCTCCACCAGTTCCCTTTTTGGTCTTCATCCGTGCTTCCTCTTATTCTCAGAGTCCCATTCTTTTCTTCCAGTAATAGAGCACAATCCATACACTCGGTCAAACTTTATGCAGGATACAGTTTGAGTTCTGCTTTGATCTCCTCCTCCGGCCATTGATAAAGATGCCTTTAAGCATTTCATTGTTAGTGCTTCACAGAGAGGAGCTATTACCCGTTCAAATTGATCCTGATACTCCATGACTGAACCTGTCAGTCTCACGTTAAGCATCGTCCCAATAGGGTGTTGTACCATGTCAGGCTCCGAATCACAGCCTGCTTAAAAAATTTCCCATGTGCAGACAGTAGTCTGCTCCTCCATCCATTAGAACCAGTTTAGAGCCTTGTCCTTCATTGGATGAAGAAACTCGAGGAAATGATGTCTGGAGGTCTGTTACTGATGCTTTTTATGGGATTCCATACCGTAGAAGGAAACATATGTACTAGAGAGAAGTCATGGACTTCCCCCCTCCCCTGCGCTCTTGTTGTAGAAGGAAACATATGCTTTTCCGCATCTTGTCCATCATCGCACCGTGTCTCACAACTCGTCCGCTGCTGTACGCATCTCAGCCAAGTTACGCTCAAGTTTTTCCATTCGAATCTCCATCTGAGCTCACGTAAATGTCATCCACATTGTTATACCGATGGCAGTCCCGATGCTATAAAATTGCGAACCAGCCTGACATTCTGACAAGTTCGGACCAATATTCTTTTTTTGGGTTCGGGCTGGTTTCAGGTGGGCTGGGTAATTCTGAGGGGTTTGGGGAGTGGTGGTGTGATGGGGTAGGGGTTGAAATAAATAAGAACACACAACTGGAGGGCCGGTCCAGGCAGGGGCAGATCTAGCATTTGCATTCAGATGGGGCCAAAATTTTATTAAATAGCGTATATTGCAAAAAAATCAAAATGTATTATAATAATATTATAGAAATGTCAAAGAAAAAAGTACATATAATAAAACTAACAATAGAATTTATCTTAAAAGACATAGAGTTGAACCGAAGTTGTATCAGTTACCCATATGTTTAACACAATTTTTTTAACACCAAAATTTTTACTCTGTACAAAAAAATTAATTATCACCTACCAAACCCAATGAATTCACCTAATTAATTTTCAACCCAATATTCAAAATCCCAATGAATTGGACATTAATTTTTAGGACAATATTAAAATAGCTCAATCTATTAAACTAATTGGTTTTTTTCGGGACTAATATTCAAAAGCTCAATCAATTAAACTATTTGATTTTTTCAGACTAATATTTAAAAGCCCGATTAATTGGACTAATTGATTTTCATGCTAGTATTCAAAAGTACAAAATTCAGATATGTTTGAAGAAATGATCCTACTCTTGTTCTTGTGTGGGTAGAAGAGATTGTTTCGGGAAAAAACTGAAAATTTTAAAATTGCATGTTCCGGCACTTGAATGAAAAAGAAAACTTGCCCTTGAGATCGAACACATAATATCTAGCTGCAGGTCAAGCTTCTACCATCACAGTATCACACCAAGATGAATATTGTATACATATAGACGTTTGTTATTATTATACCATTTCTTCACAACACATAAAATTCCTGTATAAAAATACTAGTAATATTTTTTTTTGAGGTTGGACCCAGACCCTCACTGGTCCGATGCCAGATCCGCCCCTGGGTCCAACACAAGAGCTGGGCATAGAGTTGGCCTCGGGCCGGGCCAGGCTCGGTTCGGGCCTTGAACTGGACCGGCCCCGGTTCACCAACTGCAGGGCCCGAGTCCGGACCGGTGGTCCCTGGTTCCAGGCCACCCGGTTTGGGTAATTTTTTTTCTTTCTTTTCTTCTCACCCCCCCGCACCCCCTACCCCTCCAAACCCTCTAAACCAGTCCTAAACATCAAGCCCAAGCCCAACAGCCCGAAAAAAAAGGAAAAAAAAAAAAATAGATTGGGCCCGGTTCCGGGCCAGGCCTCCCAAAATAGGACCCGAGCCCGGAACCGCCCCACCCCTGGGCCTCCGGCCCGAACCGGACCCGGACCCAGAAAACCGGGCCGGGCCCGCACAGTGGCGGGTCGGGCCGGTCCCGGGCCGGGCGGCCCGAACCGAGGCCAGGGAGGAAAAAAAGGTCGAAGAAGACCGGAAGAAGCTCAGCGCATGGGGGCGGGAACAACCAGCGAGAAAGAAAGAGAAAAGAAAAAAAAAACATGGTAATGATCGAGAGATGAAAGAGCTGCTGAAAATGAGAGGAAGAGAAAAAAACATGGTAATGGCCGGTGGTCCATGCCTAGGTAACTAGAATACTGTACTCATTTATACTTGCACACATCAGATTTATTCAATGAAAATATCTCTTGTGCATGGTATCTGAGCATTGATCCTTTTTCACCCGATCCTCTTCCTCATTCACCATGGTTGATACTTCCACTTCTGGATCTGCCAATGGTTCTGGTACCCACACTCACACTATTTCAAACACTCACGAGTAAAAATTGGTTCTGGTCCATACTTCAGCTGGACCTGTTTAGAAGTGCTGCAGAACGAAAGAAGTCATGGGTCAAATAGGTATTTCATGTTGGTATGTAGCTCGAAAAAACAGACAACCGTGCTATATGAAGCCATTTAAATAGGACTCTTTAATTATAAAATTGTGGCGTTTGACTTTCATAATCCCGGAGTATGAACTACTCTCCAGCAAAACTTACAAAACCTGTTACCAAACAACTCCCACCACACGAACCACCTGCCCTCCGTTTAGGTCTTTCAACGGGCCGGGTTCAGACCGGAATATAGTATTCCAGATTCAGACCCGTTACTCGACGAGTCTAGAATAATTATTCCAGACCAGGATTCAACTGCCTCGGTATACCCTTTTAAAATCAGATTTAGACAACCGTATTTTTGGAGAAAATTAAAGCTGTGTAACTACTAACTTTATAAGACAACAAGACAAAAGATATTTACTAAATTTACCCAATAAGACAATAACTACTACCTTCATCCCCTAAGATTCAAACAAGAGGGAGTATTGCAATTATAAGGTGAATGGTGTGATTAATTTTGATTTGGAGAAGTGTGACTATAGTATAGTAAGAATGAATTGCAACCACCAAAATACTACTAAATATGGTATGAGACAAGCTTAAAGTGGTGATGAATGAAAAAGATAAAATGGCAAAGATGGGGGGAAGTATTATTTTATACTAAATATGGTATGAGACAAGCTTAATGTGATGATGAACAATTTTTTATATTAAGTTTGGAGTATATATATATACACACACAGTTTACACACACACACACACAACACTAAGTGTGCAAGTTTAGGGTGCTTATCTCACACCGCTTCAAAGTTTGGGATATTTAAATTATTTTTAAGAGTACTCTCATACAAGATGCTGTTATAAATTTTTACTTCTGCACATTGCATAGTATTTGCACTGAAAGCTGGAAAGAAAACGAGCTGAAGGACTCTGGGTTCCAGCACGTTGTTTGCAGATTGTAAATTTTATGGGTCTTCTTTGCGGTCTTAATGTTGCATTGCTGTTCTCTAAAATTTATTCTACTTGTTCCAAATCTATGAGGGGCTTTTTGGTAAGTTCTCTCCTCACTAGCGTGTAAGACTTCTTATTGTCTCCTCATGGGTTAGCGTGCCTTAAGGCTCCTGAATCATTTTTTTTAAATTTCAAATATCTATAGAGAGCTGGCATTTATCTCTCAAACATGTGATTTGTTAAAGTTCCAGCCGTCTAGGTTGTGCTAGTTTTTGCCAAGTGGATATGGTAATTCATTTTCCTCTGTAGGTATCCAAGAGCATCAACTCAGTAATATCTCCCGGATCAGTGTACATAATTATAAAGCTTGATATGGAAGTAATCAAATCTTCTTGTCTTTCTATTGATGCAACTAGTGTCAAAAAATCAATTATGCAGACTTCAGAACTTAAATTGAAGGAACATGTAGATTATTGTTTGTTGGAGGAGAAAAACTCAAGTAGTCAAGGACAGCAAATAAATGGAACTATATCTTCTGACAAATAAGCTGTGTATATCACACACACTCACAGCTATTATGCACAGCTGATACAAGCACACATTAATAGCTTCTTCAGTATAAGGTTTTTATGACGCTTCAGGTAAATTGTTAAGCACCAGTAATCCTCTCCTGAACAGATCAAACTTCCATAATTTTCTTATAAAAGACCACCACATATTATTCTCTTTCTATGAGTAATTTTATCACAATGATAAGAGTCATGAGTGACAAATGCTGTTTTTACTAGGTTTCATTAATTTTTCTTATAAGATCATAGAATATTGATGACTAGTGTGACTAGTAGTGTCTGCCAGGTTCAAGTAGTTTTTCTTATTCGAATATTAAAAACCTAAACTTTTTCAAATACACTCACATTCAAGAAGGGAAAAGTGTAGAACAGAGTAACACAAATGAGCACGACCCTATGAAGATCTTTCAAAGATTAACAATGAACCACAATGAGATCGTGTATATCAGAAAATACAACAATTCTTCAGGATGTAGTAGGGACATTAAAAGAGGGTGTGAAAGTATATAGATTATACTTTAGGATATTAGAATATACTTCAGAATATTCTAGGAATATACTTTAGGATATTATTATTGTATAGAATCTTATATAGTTATATTCTATTTGTAATGTATATTTATAGGGACTTACACAACTAATGAAATACACAGAAAAACTTTCCTCCTCTCTTCAATATTATATTTTGTAGTTTATATTTCAACATGGTATCAGAGCCTTCCATTTCAGTTTAGTTTTTTAGATTTCAGTTCTTTATTCAGGCTGATTTCAGTTCAGTATTCAGGCTGGGTTCTTTCTCCAAGAACTTGAGTTAACTTCAGAACCTTACACACCATTTTCAGAACCTTACACACCATTCTACCTCTACACACCATTAAACAGAACCTCTGTCCAGACCCTCATTCCAGAACATCAATACACCCTAACCAGAACCTTTGTCCAGGCCAACACCGTCCTATTTCTCACCTCCGTCCTAACCAGTTGCACTTGCCGCCGCCGACAACGTCTTTGGAGTCCGCACCGGCAAAGCTTCGCGCGTCAATCACACGCGCCGTCGAAGACTTTCGCGGCTGCCGCACGCGCCAGCGAGTGAAGCTTCATAGCTGACCGGATTTCTAATCGGAAATCGCCATCTAGGTCACCTGAGTATTCTCTGCCAGGCAAATCCATTTTTCCGATCTGCGAGCTTTTGGATCCACGGTCTTCTCGAGGTTGGCGACGCAGATACTTTTGGAAGGGGGCTGCGTATACTTTTGGGATTTGAGACTAGGTGAGCTGGCTCGAATTAGAAAGGGGCTGCGTTATATTTTTGGAGTCGCCACAATCATTAGCTGGTAAGTCTTAATTAGCTGTATTTATTTATTTTTGGAGTCGCCACTATCATTAGCTAGTAAGTCTTAATTAGCTGTATTTATTTATTTATTCTCGAAAAAAAAAAGGGTAAAAAAAATCAAAAAAAAATAAATAAAAAAAAAACAAACAAAAAAAAATGTCTTTTACGGGTCCATTTGGCAGAGGAGTAATATGCCATTACTGCAAGAAGCCCGGGCACTTGCTCAAAGAATGTAGAAAGTTGCTGTTCAAAAATCAAGGAAATCAGCTTGCTCATGTTGCTTCCGCTACGAGTTCATTTGATGGATCAATTGCTATTTTTGCAGACGAGTATGCCAAATTTATTTGCTACCAAGAATCTCTAAAGCATTCCTCTATCCCTATCTCGGTCGTCGCTAATTCAGGTATTTCAAGCACATGCCTCGTTTCATCATCCTCGAAATGGGTCATTGACTCAGGTGCCACCGATCATATTTCTATCTCAGCGTAAATATGTACTTGATTTACTAGCTGAAACAGGGAAATTGGGAGCAAAGCCAAGCACAACTCCCATGGTTCCTAATGTGCAACTTACTCAAGAAGGCATGCCATTCGAAGATCCAGAAAGATACAGAAGATTGGTTGGAAAGCTTAATTATCTCGCAGTCACTCGTCCAGATATTGCTTACTCTGTGAGCGTAGTGAGTCAATATATGTCATCTCTGACCATTGATCATTGGGCTGCTGTAGAACATATATTATGTTACTTGAAGGGAGCACCAGGACGTGGGATTGTCTATCAAAATCATGATCACATGAGAATAGAATGTTTTGCAGATGCTGATTGGGCCGGATCTAAAGATGATCGAAGATCTACCTCAGGGTGTTGTGTCTTTGTTGGAGGGAACCTAGTATCCTGGAAGAGTAAGAAACAGAGTGTGGTTTCTCGTTCGAGTGCCGAATCAGAATATCGAGCTATGGCGCAATCTGCATGTGAGATCATATGGATAGGCCATTTATTGGGTGAAATCGGATTAAAGACACCGATGCCTGCTAAGTTGTGGTGTGATAATCAAGCTGCCATACACATTGCCAACAACCCAGTATTTCATGAAAGAACAAAGCATATTGAGGTTGATTGTCATTTTATTCGAGAGAAGATACAAAAAGGATTGATCTCTACGGGATATGTGAAGACTGGAGAACAACTTGGAGATTTGTTTACTAAAGCACTAAATGGGATCCGAGTTGGTTATTTATGTAACAAGTTGGGCATGATAAATATCTATGCTCCAACTTGAGGGGAAGTGTGAAAGTATATAGATTATACTTTAGGATATTAGAATATACTTCAGAATATTCTAGGAATATACTTTAGGATATTATTATTGCATAGAATCTTATATAGGAATATTATATTTGTAATGTATATTTATAGGGACTTGCACAACTAATGAAATACACAGAAAAACTTTCCTCCTCTCTTCAATATTATATTTTGTAGTTTATATTTCAACAGAGGGGATATAAGTCTACTAGTAGTACCCTTCAGCCAGCACCCCATACTTCCCCTCCTTATTTATGTTGATTACAGCACGTTCAACTGTGCTGATACCCTGGGCAAGGAAAACATGAAAAAATGTTTGTCAATCACATAATTGAGTAAAAGAGACAAGCTCACAGCTGCTTGATACGACATAAAAATTTGGATTGTGTCATCACCTTACCTTAACAACTACTGATGGAAGCTTATTTCTGAGACGGTGAACTACCCACAGTTTCGAGGTATCCACAACCTTGATATGCTGAAAAAACAGAAATTCACTTTTAATACGCAAGTTTTGTGCCATTATGACATGTCGAACGGAAATTCAACAAACAATAATCTACCTGTTCCTTCAATTTAAGTTCTGAAGTCTGCATAATTGATTTTTTGACACTAGTTGCATCAATAGAAAGACAAGAAGATTTGATTACTTCCATATCAAGCTTTATAATTATGTACACTGATCCGGGAGATATTACTGAGTTGATGCTCTTGGATACCTACAGAGGAAAATGAATTACCATATCCACTTGGCAAAAACTAGCACAACCTAGACGGCTGGAACTTTAACAAATCACATGTTTGAGAGATAAATGCCAGCTCTCTATAGATATTTGAAATTTAAAAAAAATGATTCAGGAGACAATAAGAAGTCTTACACGCTAGTGAGGAGAGAACTTACCAAAAAGCCCCTCATAGATTTGGAACAAGTAGAATAAATTTTAGAGAACAGCAATGCAACATTAAGACCACAAAGAAGACCCATAAAATTTACAATCTGCAAACAACGTGCTGGAACCCAGAGTCCTTCAGCTCGTTTTCTTTCCAGCTTTCAGTGCAAATACTATGCAATGTGCAGAAGTAAAAATTTATAACAGCATCTTGTATGAGAGCACTCTTAAAAATAATTTAAATATCCCAAACTTTGAAGCGGTGTGAGATAAGCACCCTAAACTTGCACACTTAGTGTTGTGTGTGTGTGTAAACTGTGTGTGTATATATATATATACTCCAAACTTAATATAAAAAATTGTTCATCATCACATTAAGCTTGTCTCATACCATATTTAGTATAAAATAATACTTCCCCCCATCTTTGCCATTTTATCTTTTTCATTCATCACCACTTTAAGCTTGTCTCATACCATATTTAGTAGTATTTTGGTGGTTGCAATTCATTCTTACTATACTATAGTCACACTTCTCCAAATCAAAATTAATCACACCATTCACCTTATAATTGCAATACTCCCTCTTGTTTGAATCTTAGGGGATGAAGGTAGTAGTTATTGTCTTATTGGGTAAATTTAGTAAATATCTTTTGTCTTGTTGTCTTATAAAGTTAGTAGTTACACAACTTTAATTTTCTACAAAAATACGGTTGTCTGAATCTGATTTTAAAAGGGTATACCGAAGCAGTTGAATCCTGGTCTGGAATAATTATTCTAGACTCGTCGAGTAACGGGTCTGAATCTGGAATACTATATTCCGGTCTGAACCCGGCCCGTTGAAAGACCTAAACGGAGGGCAGGTGGTTCGTGTGGTGGGAGTTGTTTGGTAACAGGTTTTGTAAGTTTTGCTGGAGAGTAGTTCATACTCCGGGATTATGAAAGTCAAACGCCACAATTTTATAATTAAAGAGTCCTATTTAAATGGCTTCATATAGCACGGTTGTCTGTTTTTTCGAGCTACATACCAACATGAAATACCTATTTGACCCATGACTTCTTTCGTTCTGCAGCACTTCTAAACAGGTCCAGCTGAAGTATGGACCAGAACCAATTTTTACTCGTGAGTGTTTGAAATAGTGTGAGTGTGGGTACCAGAACCATTGGCAGATCCAGAAGTGGAAGTATCAACCATGGTGAATGAGGAAGAGGATCGGGTGAAAAAGGATCAATGCTCAGATACCATGCACAAGAGATATTTTCATTGAATAAATCTGATATGGGTGTAAGTATAAATGAGTACAGTATTCTAGTTACCTAAGCATGGACCACCGGCCATTACCATGTTTTTTTCTCTTCCTCTCATTTTCAGCAGCTCTTTCATCTCTCAATCATTACCATGTTTTCTTTTCTCTTTCTTTCTCGCTGGTTGTTCCCGCCCCCATGCGCTGAGCTTCTTCCAGTCTTCTTCGACCTTTTTTTCCTCCCTGGCCTCGGTTCGGGCCGCCCGGCCCGGGACCGGCCCGACCCGCCACTGTGCGGGCCCGGCCCGGTTTTCTGGGTCCGGGTCCGGTTCGGGCCGGAGGCCCAGGGGTGGGGCGGTTCCGGGCTCGGGTCCTATTTTGGGAGGCCTGGCCTGGAACCGGGCCCAATCTATTTTTTTTTTTCCTTTTTTTTCGGGCTGTTGGGCTTGGGCTTGATGTTTAGGACTGGTTTAGAGGGTTTGGAGGGGTAGGGGGTGCGGGGGGGTGAGAAGAAAAGAAAGAAAAAAAATTACCCAAACCGGGTGGCCTGGAACCAGGGACCACCGGTCCGGACTCGGGCCCTGCAGTTGGTGAATCGGGGCCGGTCCAGTTCAAGGCCCGAACCGGGCCTGGCCCGGCCCGAGGCCAACTCTATGCCCAGCTCTTGTGTTGGACCCAGGGGCGGATCTGGCATCGGACCAGTGAGGGTCTGGGTCCAACCTCAAAAAAAATATTACTAGTATTTTTATACAGGAATTTTATGTGTTGTGAAGAAATGGTATAATAATAACAAACGTCTATATGTATACAATATTCATCTTGGTGTGATACTGTGATGGTAGAAGCTTGACCTGCAGCTAGATATTATGTGTTCGATCTCAAGGGCAAGTTTTCTTTTTCATTCAAGTGCCGGAACATGCAATTTTAAAATTTTCAGTTTTTTCCCGAAACAATCTCTTCTACCCACACAAGAACAAGAGTAGGATCATTTCTTCAAACATATCTGAATTTTGTACTTTTGAATACTAGCATGAAAATCAATTAGTCCAATTAATCGGGCTTTTAAATATTAGTCTGAAAAAATGAAATAGTTTAATTGATTGAGCTTTTGAATATTAGTCCCAAAAAAAACCAATTAGTTTAATAGATTGAGCTATTTTAATGAGAAAACTTCTCATCAGGCCGGCCTGACGGGCTGCCCCGTCCGGCCGAGCCCGTTTGGGCACCTTCCCGGTGGAATTTTTTGATGAAATTTTTTGAGCATGTTCCTCATCAAGTCTAGTTTGTCCATACCAACTTTCAGCTCAAAATTCGATCGGGAAGGTCGTCAAATGATTTTTGCAAGTTAACTGGTCCGGAATATGTATTTTTCGGACCAGTTAACTTGCAAAAATCATTTGACGACCTTCCCGATCGAATTTTGAGCTGAAATTTGGTATGGACAAACTAGACTTGATGAGGAACATGCTCAAAAAATTTCATCAAAAAATTCCACCGGGAAGGTGCCCAAACGGTCTCGGCCGGACGGGGCAGCCCGTCAGGCCGGCCTGATGAGAAGAGCTCTCCTATTTTAATATTGTCCTAAAAATTAATGTCCAATTCATTGGGATTTTGAATATTGGGTTGAAAATTAATTAGGTGAATTCATTGGGTTTGGTAGGTGATAATTAGTTTTTTTGTACAGAGTAAAAATTTTGGTGTTAAAAAAATTGTGTTAAACATATGGGTAACTGATACAACTTCGGTTCAACTCTATGTCTTTTAAGATAAATTCTATTGTTAGTTTTATTATATGTACTTTTTTCTTTGACATTTCTATAATATTATTATAATACATTTTGATTTTTTTGCAATATACGCTATTTAATAAAATTTTGGCCCCATCTGAATGCAAATGCTAGATCTGCCCCTGCCTGGACCGGCCCTCCAGTTGTGTGTTCTTATTTATTTCAACCCCTACCCCATCACACCACCACTCCCCAAACCCCTCAGAATTACCCAGCCCACCTGAAACCAGCCCGAACCCAAAAAAAGAATATTGGTCCGAACTTGTCAGAATGTCAGGCTGGTTCGCAATTTTATAGCATCGGGACTGCCATCGGTATAACAATGTGGATGACATTTACGTGAGCTCAGATGGAGATTCGAATGGAAAAACTTGAGCGTAACTTGGCTGAGATGCGTACAGCAGCGGACGAGTTGTGAGACACGGTGCGATGATGGACAAGATGCGGAAAAGCATATGTTTCCTTCTACAACAAGAGCGCAGGGGAGGGGGGAAGTCCATGACTTCTCTCTAGTACATATGTTTCCTTCTACGGTATGGAATCCCATAAAAAGCATCAGTAACAGACCTCCAAACATCATTTCCCCGAAAAACTATACGGGGTGGGACTTAGAGCAGGTGGAAGGGTGAAGACCAGCCCTACGGGGCTTAATAAATGGTTGACTGACGGGGGTTCTAGCTCAGAGGGTTATGGAGGCCAGAGGAAGTCTGATCGTGGGGGAGAGCACACGACGGAGTCAAAGACTTCCAAGGACCCATTGACTGAGAACGGGGGGGAGGAAGACCCACCTGGAGACCTGAAACGAAGACGTATGTGGGAAGACCAGGAGAAAGAAGGCATGGTGGGTGCAAAGATGGCTCTCGACAGGCCAAAAAATGGGAAAGGGGCGGGTCAGCTAGCATAGACCCGTCGAGAATTTTCTGGTTGGTGGTGAAGATGAATTTCTGCTTTGGTGTTTTTTTATTTGTCTGTTTTGTTTATTTTGATTCCAGATACATTGTGTTTTTTTGCTTTGGTTATTTCATTCACTGTAAGACTCTGGCATTAGGGTGGGGGGAGGAAGATTCTGCGGTAACCGTCTCTAGCTCTTTATTGCCCACTATTGGTCTAGCGAACTATACTGCTTTTTTTAGGTGGTTAGCTCTCAGTCTCGGCCACGGGCGGATGGTTATTTGTGGTTTTTCTCTAGTTTGTTTCCCTTGCTGAATGCTATTAATATGAATTAAGACTTCTTCGAGCAAAAAAAAAGTTATTTTTAGACCTATACAGAGCAATTTCTGTTAAAAAAATATTCCCAGAAGTCTGGGGCTTCCCCCTCTGTGCTCTTCCAGCCACAGGCAAGAAGAGGAATAACCCTAGCAGGCAGGTTAAGACCTCACTTTTACGTTACCCTAACAGGCAAGAAGAGAGTAAGAAGACTGAAGCGCGATGATAGCTTAGTGTTTTACACTTTTACGCAAGGTTTACGTTTTTAACTTGAGGTTTTACGTAGGTTTCAATTGTTTTACCCGACTATTAGATGGGCTAAGTGTTATTAAAGATATAGGCTAATTATATTTGAAAGTTTTAAACTAAAAAAAAAAAGGCTGGTCAGCCTTTTCCGGATCAGGCGACCCAAGCGTGCGCCCCCTGTGCTTCATGCGCATCCTACACTTATGCTGCGCCTGACCCAGGAACGTGCACCTCCCCTTCTCCCAAGCGCTGGAGGCCCTGCTCGCTGCGCCTGGTGCGCTTAAGCACTGGGGCGAGCGCTTTTGACTACCTTGCACAGATCAAATGGATGTCATAAAACTGTCACAGAGAATACATCATTTAAGAATTGTGATACGAATTACACAACCACAGCAATACTAACGGTCCAAAATCATGTACCTTGCAAATACACTTCAAAATGACCAAAATGTTTGGCAGATATCCAACATTGTAAACTGGTAACGCAAGTTTCAAGTATCCATAGTGACCAGGACAGTCTTTCAAACTTCCGCTGCATGTCTCACAAGCCTTTCCTTTGTTTGTAGGCCCCTGAAATTCAAAATAATGAGTGAGTTTCCAAAATAGTAAAATATCATTATAAACAAGTTATTGTCCGCCAAGGCGCCAATAATGGACATCACAATAGTATGGATAAGGCAACATTATCAATGACAGAGTGCGGAAAGCCTTGATAACACTATAGCAGTATATCGGGTAGCTGTATGACTACTATTCTTAGAATTTCAAGTTTTCAATAAAGAATATATAAATATAACTATATTTGCATACTTGAGAGGCACATTGCAAAAGAGGGGTGAAGACATGGCATTAAAATAGAGAAGAGTTTTAAAGGAGAAAGAAGGATCTCAAAGGGTTTGAAAGAGATGTTTTTACTCTAAAATCTGATTATAGCCTCTTCCCTACCCCAAAAACCCTTGCCCGTGGTTATGCGTGCATAGAAGGAAATCGAAGTTCTAGTGGCATAGCACATTATATGGCTACCATTTGCCACAGTACAACTTCCGCATTGCCACGATTGCAATCAGCTGCTACACTGTTATAGCGTTTTACTAATAGCATTGGGATAAACATCAGCCGTATGACCATATGAAATGGAATAATGAAAAGTTTGATATACCCTCCCCAAGCACTTTACCATCATGAATCAACTGGTGCGTCAAACAAACACATCCTTCATGTGCCTACATACATATCTTGTTTTTATTTTGTCCACTACAATTAAAAAAAAAAAAAACTGACTACAGGGCGGCTCTAAATACACTGGTGCCCATCTTAGAAAATCCATAACCATGTATCACCAAAACCATGAATCAGGAAGAAAAAAAATCTTGCAGATCAAGAGAAGATAAATTAAGAATTGAAATGCAGTTGAAAATGACACAACAATGATACAATTAATTAGACTAGCAACTTAGCAAGTAAATTTATTTACAATTTACACTTCACAAATGCCATAATGATTGGATTCATAAGCTACAGGGCTATGGAATTTTATGAAAAATGTGTGTGCAGCCCCCTTAAATTCAGACAACCAAAGCATCAACAAATGTAAGAAATACCATGTGTGGATCCAATAGGCCATTGGGAAGAGGTTTCTGGAATTGATCATAGTAAGCACCGCGATAGACTTCAACCACTGCTGAATTCATGATTTCAGAACCGGAGAAAGTTGAAAACTTAAAACTTTTTCTGTAGGATGAAATACAAAGTTGTGATAAAGGTGTGGATTAGAGTGAGCCTAGAGACATTCAACAAAAAAAATACAACATCCTATTAGAAGAACAAAAATGCATACATTTTGCGGGGACCCACATCCTCGATGTAAGGCTGTTTGGTGAATTGGATCTCTTCTCTTCTGCTCATCTTTTTTCACCAACTAATAACTGCAACACACTCAGAAGGTAACAATTTGATTATGGGAGAGAATTGAGGAAATAAATACCTCTATTTCTCCAATGATAGAGACTACGCATTTAAAAAATCATGAATAGGTTTAAGAAAAGTAAAGATCAACACAACAATAAGGAATGTTGTCAACGGCGATGGAGAAAAGGGAAAGACAAACCTGACGCGGCGATGGAGGTATTTTCGAAAGGAAAGAGACGGACGAGCCAAGAGGGTTTATACTTTGCCCGACTCCTGAAAGTTCGAACATACAGAATTTATTTGAATTCTAATTTTGTATCGGGTCTGCTCCGCGCGCCTCCAAAACTGCTGTGCGCACCATCTTTTGTCAAATGTGGACAAGATTGTCCTTGATCAAAGCTCACGGAACTCTAATGCATTAGGCGCACAATCAAGCATCTCCCTTCAATAATTTTTAATTTTAATGTTATTGTTTTCTAAAAATTTGTAAAGGAATTCCCGTAGGATTACTACTTACAAGTGCACCGCCTAATAATTTGGCAGTTACTCTCCACCAATAACTTGTTGCCATGTGGCTAATTTTTCTGTTTTATAAAATATTATAACTTTTCCAATTTTGCTCCTATTTTATAAAATTAAATATTTTTTTATGATCTTTCATATGGCACCAATAACATATATGTAAAAAAAACATTTGGTCAAGTCTATTGAGTTGTCAATTAATGTATATATACTACATAATATTTTTTAAAACTAGTCTAGTCTGATCTGGATCAAAATCAGTTCAATTAAAAAGAATCTAAATATCAATCGGGTCTTAAATCTAGTCATGTAACATACATGGTCGTAATGCAGAATCACCTTTTTTTTGTTCTTGTAGCTTTATTTCTTTTATCTTGTAATGCATTGACAATTTATGCAGCTCGATACTTCCCGATTTTTTCACACGCGAGAAGGACATTACCAAATAAAAGAAAAAAACATATATTGATTGTGTTTAATAAAATATATTAAACTAACATTCTAAATTATATATAGGGGCCGTTATTTTTTAAAAAGACAATTGCAATTTGAAGTGTACTTATTAGTTTGACCACATGTTTTTTTTTTTTTTTACATATATGATATTGATGTCATATGAAAGTTCATAAAAAATTATTTAATTTGATACGGAGTATAAATTTTATAAAGATGGGAGCAAAATTGAAAAAGTTATAACATTTTATAGAAAAAGAAAATTTGGCCATGTGGTAGCAAGTTATTGGAGGAGAGTAAATGTCAAATTGTTAGGCCACATGTGATCCTACGAGAATTCTTTACAATTTTTTGGAAACAATAACACTAAAATTAAAAATCCATGAAGAGAGATTGAGAGATGCTTGGTGGTGCGCCTAGTTGTTAAAGGTTCCGTGAGCTTTGAGTAAGGACAATATTGTCCATATTTGACAAAAGATGGTGCGCAAAACAGTTTGGGAGGCGCGCGGATCACCCTTTTGTATTCTTCAATTCTTTTTATTAGCAATCTTTAACTAATTTGAAATTTTAAGTTGACAAATGAGACATTGCAGTACTTTCACCGTAGGATTTAATATGTTAAGTTTCGATGTTTTTCCCTTTTAATTTAGTGTAACTGAAATGTATCTCAATTCTATTAATTTTATTAATTATGTCATTTGAAAATTGATTGATTGTGCGGAGTTTTTGGTATCACAAAAAAATAGATTGAATAAGACGGATCTGCCGAAATTGGTGAAATTCTGACTGAAATGGTTAAGCTGACTAAATCTGCTAAACTATGTAAAACTATATCTTCTCTATTTTTTCTAGACGCAATACTCTCATTTTCACGTTTGTCAACACATGACTTTGACTCCTGATACATTTGTTCATCTAATAGTAAAAAATAAAAATAAAAGACGTGTTCCGTCACAATGAGACGAGCTTGGGAATGTTTTCATTAAATTAAATTCTCATATATTAAGAATAAAATGTAGTCAAATTAGAACATGAGAACACTATAAAAATAATTTCAAATAAGGAAAATATTTATATGATAGCTAAAACAATAATTTCCGAGATTCAGTCAATATAGTCATAAAAGTAGATTCCATCTTGCTACTTTATTGTTTATATAATTCACGTGAAATCAAAAGGTACTTATTTGACCAAAGAGGATGATTGATAAGACTAATCATATAGACTAGAAACTGCTCTCTTCAAAAATAATTTGTTGTTCATATTATTTTATTAACATTAGAATCTGCTAAAATTGGTGAAGCTCGGGTTGAAGCAATTGAATTGTTCAAATTTGCTAAAAAAATCATATTTGTACCTTATTAGTAAAATCAAAGAAACAATTACATAGAAGCACTACTATACACTCGGCAGTCCATAGAAGGAAAAGAACAAACCATATTAATTAAATGATGATAATATATAATAGTATGATGTACATGATGTGGCCAAACTAGTGGCGATTTTGAACTCCTATGACGGAAAATTCTACGGCGGCGGTAGAGCCGCCTCCACCACCAAATGCTTGGGCACGTAAATCTTCTGCAGAGGTTGTAGGAGGACAGGGATCTTGACGTGCAATTTGTCGTGGTGTGCACTCAAAATAATAATCAATACAACACTAATACGTAGTATAGTGTAGTAAGGTTCGTATTCACAGGGAAATGAATACTTTTCTTTTTATAGAAATAAAATAAGTAACAAGGGGGGTTTTGTGTTTGGTTGATGAACTTAAATTATATTAAAACACAAAGATGAATGACTTATGTGGTTTAATTGATGAGAAGAAGACTTGGTTTTGCTATTATCCACTTAATGAAATGTTCGTCGATCCCGGTTATATCTTTAAGTGTCTTCCTCTCGAATACTCAATCGAGGAGTATATCCAATTCATCGAGGGTAGTTATTAATAACGAGACGCGTTCATTAATAAAACTTACTACCGAGTTAATATAGAACACGCGCCGTATATTCACTCGATAGTAGCAATAAAATCAAGACGAAAACAATTGAGATTGATAACCTCAACACAAGCGGTTTATTGGTTTAATCAATATAATTAATTCCCCTTAGGTTATTAACCATGAGACGCATGCATTAACAACCCAAGTTTACTACTGTGAAATGACCGAATTAATAACAAGCGTATTAATCGACCGATTCTAGTATTAATTAATATATGAAACAAAACTAGTTGATCCTTTAAGTAATGCTCAAAGTATTAATATGAAATAAGAATAGGAATTAATTAATATTCAAGGAAAAAGATTAAAGAAAATAACTCACAACTTACAATTCATTAAGCTTCAAAGTAGCAAAACCAAGATAGAAGAGTTTAGCTCCTCATTTGGAGACTAAACATGATGAAAAATATAAAGAAAGAACTTGTCTAAACTGAGCTAAGAAGTATATGGGAATTGGTGGTCTTTTGTGGGAAGGAAAGGGGTCTATTTATAGGGAAATGGAGCATGCAGGGGTGTGTACCCGATCGGGTATTGGAGGCTCCCGATCGGGTACACTCAGAAGCTTCTCGGAAGCTAAAAATAAGGTCATACCCGATCGGGTATACCCGATCGGGTATGACACTCGAACATGGTCAAAATCTTCCCTGCATGTTACTTGGTTCCCGGGTTGATCTGATTTGACTTTCCAGTAGGGTACCCGATCGGGTATAGGGTATACCCGACCGGGTACAGCCCAAAAATTCAGAATCTTCATTTTGTCTTGGGATTTTTGCACCTTCCTTCCACTTGTGATGTTCACCAATGGTCCCTAAAGTGTTCTTGGACCTGTGTGAGCTCAGAATGAACCTAATCTAAACAAATTACAAATATTTTACAAACTAAACTATTACACCAAAAGTGTGTAATTTCCAAAGTAAAAATCAATCTAAACTAATTAAAGATACAAACATAAATATGGAAATTACATGAATGTCAGATCTATCTCGGCAGATCTATCAAGATTGGGGGGTGCCCTCAATTTCATTCTCAGAAGGACATGTAAAGGTTTTGGCGGAAAATCATATTCGTGATTTGGTAGGTTACTTTTTTAAGGGTAAACCTTCGCTTATTGTGATTCGTAAGTCCTTTGAGATAATTGGATTTAAGGGATCATTTCATTTGGGTGTTTTGGATAATAAACATGTTGTTATCCGATTTGCTTTGGAGGAAGACTTTCTGCGTTGCTGGATGAGGCAAACTTGGGTTATTCACGGTCATGTTACGTGTGTTACTAGGTGGGCACCGAACTTTCGTCCTAATGTGGAATCTTCACTAGTTCCGGTATGGATTGCTGTGGAGGGACTTCCTTTACATTTGCAGGATAAAAGAGCCTTGCTACAAATTGCAGGATTATTGATTGGAAAACCTCTTAAAATTGATTCGGCAACTGCAAACCTCTCTCGGCCTTCGGTTGCAAGGGTATATGTTGTATTCAATTTAATGAAGGAAATGCCTCAGAAAATTTGGATTAATAGCGGTTCCTACGGTTTTTTTTCAAAATTTTATCTATGAGAATAGTCCGGAATACTGTTCTGCATGTCTACACTTAGGACATTCTCATCCTAAATGTCCTAAGAGGGCTGGGGAACAACCTGCTATGATTGAGCTGCCTAAGGACAGATTGGTCCAGTCTAAGAAGGTTGGGGAACAACCTAAGTTGATTGAGTTACCCAAGAATAGATGGGTTCAAAAACAGAATAATAATAAGCAGGGAGCTCAGGAAAGGAAATTCACACAGGAAGAGAAAGGGAAGGGGATTATTACAAATGCTTCAGAAAAACAATCAACTTCAATTTATACGGATGGTCAGGTTGTCAGTGATTCCGAGGGAGAGGAGGTTTTCTTGGGCTCGGTAGCGCAACCAACTGCAGAGGAAGTTCCTAGTCTTTCAGTTTTAGCACCTAAGGATATCATTCAGGCCAAAGACGATGCTCACATCTCTCAGTTACAGCAGATTATTGATAAGGACCCTCCATTACACAGCAAATAATATCATTCAGATGGTGAGCTTGGTAAAAAAGAAACTAGTCCCGAAAATATTGAAGAACTGGATGCAACAATTATTGGAATCGGGGATATTGTGGCAAAAAGAATTGATGCAGCAGTAGAAACTATACAAGAAATCATCTCACCAGAAGCAATTCAGTCTGATGTTTGAGAGGACAGTGGATCATTACTTTATACAGAGCAAACAACCACTCAACCAAAGATTTTAGAGGATATTGGGCCCTCTCAGCCTATTATTCAAGAACCTGATCCACCCCCTACATTTCAACATGATGCTCATCTTGCAGCGAGAGGGATTGGTCACTCAACTGTTCAATGAATTGCTTGTTTTGGAACACTAGGGGTTTGGAATCCTCCAGTTCCAGACTTAGTTCCCTAGTTCAACAGCGGAGGTTGGTTTTATTAGTGAGTATTGAGCCCATGGTGGATTGCTCTAAAATTCATCATTATAAAAGTATTTTAGGCTTCATTGATGCAATTTCTTCTCCAAACACCAAAATTTGGGTTTTCTGGAAGAAAGATTATTTACAAATTAGTCAGGTTCAGTGGTGTTGGATTATGGCCCAAATTGAGGTTCGGTCCATTTACCCCTTGTCCGGACGTACGTACAGATGAACCATCAGTAAGAATAGACGAACGTCTGATTCAAGCCTTGGGCTCAACGGCCCATCCCAACGAAGGTCTACGCAGCTGACATAAAGCGGACCTCGGGCCACCGGAGTGACGACGAACGTCGTCAGAGCAAGTCCAGTCCACATGGCAAGAATCCACAAGGGCCAAAGGACGAACGGCCCAACATCCCTTGGAGGATCATACATGGGGAGTCCACCTCCTCAGCTGGACGAACATCCCCACCAATTGGGCGGGAAACCTAGATCCTGGCGGGAAGCGCATTTAATGCTAGAGATTTGGTGGTTGAGACACTAGCCATCCACAATCCTCCATGTCAGCGTAGCCAACTGCCCATTGGTGGTATAAATAGAAGCATTTATTTCATTGTAAAGGGTTGGCAACTTTCTATTCTTAGCAATCGAGCTATAGCATTCTTACTTGCAGCACTCCTATTGCCTTGTAAGACGAACGGCCGACGAGCCTTAGCTGAAAGCATTGTATTAGGGAGTTATTAAGAGATAATAATACCTAATCACTTGCTTGCTATTTCCTGTTTCCTTTGATTCCATCGCACTTGTTAGTTGGGCTAGATTACCTACACACTCATCCACTCGAAATCCTTGGGCTTACGTGTTGGACCCGAGGGTTGACGGAATAAACCCCAACACTGGCGCCGTCTGTGGGAAACTGAACTAAAAGTTTCCAAAAAACTCTCCCAAACAGCTACCAAATCTACCCACAGCAAGCACGATGGCAAGAAACAACCAGCAGCGTGACCTCTCGGAGTAACTGTCTCGCGGACGAAGGAGCCGCGGGCAAACCACGGAGCGTTCTGAAACGCCGGGAACACCCAGGGACGATGGAGGCCTCACCAACCTCATCCCGCACGAGGCCAGGCGTGATCCTCGGCTCATGAGGGAGCTGGCGGAAACCATGCGCCGGCTGGCGGACGAGCAGGAGGCTGAGGAGGAGGTGTACTCAGCCAACACCATCTGGACGCCCATCTCGCCAATCCACCGCATGCAATCCCTGGATGAGACAGCGGACTCTGTAGAACGCCGGGCGTCCGTCCACACTAGGTTGGGCCGGAGTCCGCTATCACGGAGCTCCCACCGGACCAGGGGGCTCACCAGTGCTGACACCCCGCTTCATGGGTGGCATGACGATCACCGAAGGCGAACGCCGGAGGTTCCCTCAGAACAGCAGGGTATGACGGCCACCCCCGCTGCCAGCAACATTGGACGACGTTTCCAAAGGCGTGGTGCCCAGATTACCCGCAGGCAGCCCGACGAGGCTGCCCCACGAAGGA